AGATCTACGTAGGAATGCAGATCTACGAGTTTTTATGTGTGAGAAATTGAGAAGAAACACATATATGATGAGTCTGAAATAATCATGCAGTTTAGAGAAAAATATATATTCAAAACATCGACATAAACATATATTATTTTAAATGTATATTCTTTATACATATTTTATATGTATATATGTATGTATATACAGGATGTGTCTTAAATAGCGTCCGTTAATTATATAGCGTTATTTCTTGTAAAAAAACCGAGTCGAAAAGTTCTGTTCCATTTTCTTTCTGCAATACTCAATGAAGTAATTACTACTTCAGTAATCACTGCTTCTCATAATTGAGCATTGTAGAAAAAATGATTCAGAACTTTTCAGGACTTAATTTTTTATAAAGAATATCGCTAAATAATTAATCACGATTTTTTTATAATGTTCAATGAAGTAATAATCACGTCAGTAGTGATCGCTTTATTAAACATTGTAAAAAAAATGATTCGGGACTTTTCGACTCAGTTTTTTACAAGGAATAACGCTATATATAATTCGTGGACGCAATTATTTAAGATACACTTTATAGTCTTTATATATATAGAGCATTCATTTTTTAAATAAACTTAAAAGGATTGCATAGTCAGACCTTAAAAGTCATTTTAATAATAGCATGCTTTTATTAGGTGCCCTAATATAAAGTACGTGTTATTATACTGGTTTTTTTTTAGTGTCACGTAATATCATATTAAATTCCGAGGTAAATTCGCCGATAAGAACCTCTGACCGTAGTAGTTCGCGCGGTCGGTTCGATCTGAAAACCCGTTCTGAAATTCCCGTATTATGCATGCGTCGCGCAAGTAGTCTGGCTTCGGCAGGGCGGGGGCTTTCGCGAAGCGATGATTAAACGATTAAGCGATCTCCAGGGCGCTAATGTAATCCGCTAACGCGAGAGATCAGCGAACAAATTGCGTATTATACGCGAGATCTCGGCTTTCCTCCCCAAAACGGTAATTTCCGAAACGGGGGCAGCTTAAAGGCTAATGCAAATGTCTTAATGAGGGGAGGGGGGGGAGGGACGATATTGCGCGCGTGTAAGGTCTCCCCCCTTGGCCCGTGCCGCTTAAATCACTATCGACGGCGCCTCCGGCGAGGAAGATCGATATATACCTTACCCTCCTACCCTCTACCCTCCAGTTTCATCATAATTCCAGCGGATTTGTTCTCCGTGTGGCGCGACACGCGTGATGCAACTTGACACAACTTGACACGCGGATATACCTACATTTGCATAGCCGTATAAACAGGTTTGTGCGCGTTTATTAATGCATTTGATGCGCGCGCGCGCGCGACGTTATTTGAAAATTACGCAATGACGACCTTCCCTCCACGATAATTTATTTATGCGCCATCTCCTCCTCCTCCTCCCCGCAATTTCTAAAGTTTCCAACGCGAAACATCTTGATAACGAGTTGTGAGATTCCGTCAAGTGAAATTGTAGTCGACATTAATCGAAAGCTCGTGGAGGAGAGCGATTAAAATCAATCTGCCTGCAGCAAATGCAATATCTCAAAAATCTTTCTATATTGAGATTAACTGTTGCCGTTTCTCTGGAAATTATTAAATGAACACGATAGTTGTATGACTTACTACTGAAACTCACCACACTTTTATTCCTCCTATTATTTAACTTTTACGTAATTATTTATATAACTATTTATTACTTTTATAAAACTCTGTTACACCTAGTGATTCGTTCTTTTACGCAACGCTATTTGATATTATTATAAGAAATTCATCTTATTCCGTCAATAATTTCGAGAGCTAACACAATCTCTCCACTTTAGCGTACGAATTTCTGTTTATTCCAAACAATGTGTAGGTATATCAAACGTATATCGATCTTCCCTTCGCCGAATGTAAGACATATTAATAACCGACGTCTACGACGAAAGCACTCGGGAAATGCTCACGAAAAAAACGGGTCGGATTACCTGACGGTAGTAGGTAACTCTGGCGGAGCCGGGAGTTCGGAGGCTGCAGAGCTCGGTTCACCTTATTGGATCCCCGGGTTATCTTGGCCCGGTTCAAGAAATAATGCCACTCAGTCGAGCCTGCCCTCCGTTTGTTTGAGTTGTTTGACGAGGAAAAACGATATTCGCCGCCGCGAACCTACATCTCTCTGGCTGGCTGGCTGGCTGGTCAGCTGGCCGGGCTGGCTGGCATGAATTCCTGTATCTTTCGCGTACTCGTCGCACGAATTTATCGCAAACTTTCGCCGCGAAACTGCGGCACCGGAATATCAAATTAATACACGAGCGTCGGAGATAAGCCGATTATTTGAACGGCCATTGTGTGTGTTACTGCCGTATCTCCTTCGCTCCGCAGGCTCCGCTTCTGTTAGGCCGAAGGTATATATTTGCGCGAACGTGAAACACGTGCTTTTTCTACTCCCATATTTTCATTGAACGAGGCTTGACGTAAAAGCTCCTATTTTTGAACTCCCAGTCATTGTAACGAGGCGAAATATAAACAGCAAGAGGATTGTTTTGAGCAATTTCACTTTTTAAAAATAATATTTAACTCTCTATTTTCAAACTCAATAAGTCGATAAATCTTATGAATTTTAGGCAATAATATTTTCGCCACAAACATTTTTTTAAGCATCGCCATAAAGAAAAATGTTTTTTTCGATCGGAGCCTACGCATGTATAAGCCCTGACACTTGACGCTTTCCTTTATGTCAGCGAAAAAAAGAATATATTCCTTGACAGATATTCGCGCCCCTCTTGTCAAAATAATGGCGTCACGTAGACGAAGATATATCGCAAGTGACGACAATGTGTTTCCCATCGCCAAGATATGTCTTGACGTAGCTGTTGCGAGATTCTGTATACGCATTTACCGTGCGACAAGCGTCTCAAATAAATTCGATTAAGTATATGAAAACTCCTAAAGATATTACGAGATTATAATGTTAAAAAAAAAAATGATTGAAAAATATCCTTAATATATATCTAAATAAAAATACTCGAAAACATTTAAAAATAAAAATAAAATTCAACAAAATTGCGAATTGTTGTTTTTTAAAATAAAATATATTTTTTTCAAAACGTATTCAAATGAAGTATCCTATATTACAAGAATTTTTAATAGTCTGTAATTTTGTATGTAATATTCCAACAAGTGCACCAAATATGCTTAAATTAGAATAAATATGCATAACTACGAACATTTTCGAATATCTGAGTTAATAATTTCAATATTTTAGCCAAATAGAAACCGTTAATAACCGCGATTTATACCGCCAATAATAATCAGCAAAATATGAATATATGAATGTACAAATATATATAAATGTAAATAATTAGTAAAATAATTAGTGATAATGCTAAAATAACATCAATACTTGAAGTGCTTATCTTGTTGCTGCCATATTAAAGAAGAGAAATGCTTATTACATATTCACGTATTGTAGTTACGTAAAAAGTTCGCATCAAAAAAATACTTAGATTCCTTATTACCGCGCTCCGGTCGCGGTTCCCCACAGTAAATTACATTTCGCCTTTTCGAAACGCGAGATTCCGATAAAGAGGCGGTTCATCGAAGCGAGGAAATAAGCCGCGCCAGCAAGCAGGGGGGACAGCGCGCGCGAGAGAGAGAGAGAGAGAGCTCTCACAAAGGGCCGCGTTATCACGACGATAGTGATAACGACCCGAGAGAGGATCCTACACGCTCTTTGACGATCTCCGTACCGTTTCTCGATCGCGAAGAGGTCATTCGGATCGCCCATAAAAGGATATTTCAAAGTTCCTCCGCCGCTCGTATTGGATAAGACGGCAAGGGAATATTGAATTCTCCACGACCGAATGCCACTCCAGATACGTTCGAAATAACGTTTACCAGAGCCGATTTTCCACCACGGAGATGGAAAAGTAAGCGGTGGGTGCGACGCGTAATTTCACTTTTGACCGTCGAGCTTCTTTCTCTCGGGACGTCGGTTTCGATGTGTCAAGCCTCGCAACGACGACGCCCCTTTGACGACCAAATCGAATCGACGTAAACGGCAAAGGGCTGCAACCACGTCGTTGCACCCGCGCGTTGAATTTGCCATCGTAAATCGAGGTTCCACTGGCAACTTGCCAAGGCAGATCTTTCTGTTACCGAAACAAGACCCGAATCGGAATTCTAATTTCCGTTCGAACTATTCATTTTCAGCTACTGATTTATTCATGAAGCATTTCAAATTTTAAGAAATAAGATATTTCATGTGAATATTTTAAGAAATACCTATATTTAGATCTGTCAGACAGAAAAATAGAGTACAGAAATACCACGAAAATTCACCGATAATTTAATAAGATCAGTATAATATTTAATTTATTACTGTAGTAGCGAAATACCGGCGTACAGACAGTTAAAAAGAGTAAACTGTCAGAAAATACTTTGTTGCTCGCTTAAATTTAATTCTGAAGTATTAATTGCTTGAATTTGTTGCTCTCTAAATATCCAAATGTCGAATCCCCAGAATCAAATTTAAGCGAGCAATAAATTATTTTCTGATAGTTTATTCTTGTAACTGTCTGTGCGCTGGGTTTTCCGCTGTCATTTAGATTTATTTCGCGAGTAACGAATTCGAAACTTGGATATTTCAGCAATAATTACAGACAATACTCTGGTATCAAATTTAAGCGAGTAATAAATTATTTTCTGATAGTTTACTTTTGTAGCTGACAGTGCACTTTTATAAAATTATATATATATATAATATAATATAATATATAAAATTCAATTTTGTAATTAATTTAACTTTCGTAAGTGTTTCTATAAAAATTTACGCTTTTTGACCTTTCATAATACTTTTGCATACGCCTTTGCATAATACTGTGTGACTCTTGATTTATTACAAATGCAAAATTTTCGCTTCGAGGAATTGAACGATATTTATCAGCCGTTCTTGTGTAATACATCAGGTGTAACCGCCTGATTAATGCTCTCTCTTGTGTGTTCCGCGGGAGCAGTCTCCGAGTTCGCCCAGGAGTTGGGCGCCGCGATGGAGAGCCACTCGGCGAACGTGCGACGTCTGGTCGATGAATTTCGCAGTCGATCGGGCGACTCGAGAATCGATGTCGGCGGTATGCGACGAGTTTGGGAGAGTTTGCTGCGGCAGGTCGAAGCGGACGCGGCGTCTCACCTCGATCTGGCCGCGGTGCTGCAGCAGCAGCTGTCGAGGCCCACCTTAGAGGCGAGCTTCCACCGAAAGCTGCAATCTAGGAAGGTAAGCTTACCCTGGCGCGCGTCACGAATTCTTTTCTATGTAAATTTGTAGCTTCGTTCCTAAGTAAACTTGCGAGTATATCGCAATATTTGTTGATGCTACCAATTATTATTATTATTATTATTGTAATCAATTTCAAATTATTATAATTTTATTCGAAAGTAATTTAGATGACACGCGTCATCGTATACCGTTCTCGTTATACGATCTCTACAAGCCTTTCTTTTACAGTAAAAAAACATTTTATATTTGTGTTAGAAACGGTGTCAGTCGAACATTCAAATCGTTAAAATTTTATGTTGAATTTTTAATATATTTGGATGTTAATTTAACATAATGATTGTTATTTGAATATGTTTAATTAATATTCAACATTTCTTGTGTCAAAACAACACAATTTATGAGTAAACAAATAAAAGTGAACAGATAATTATAGAAAAATAATATGTTTTAAAACGTAAATTCAAATATAAGAGAATAAAATATATGTCAATTTAATATCATCAAACGTTAATTTTATTGAAAAAAAGTTTCCACAGTTTGCTTACAAATTGTGTCAGTGTTACATTTTTTATGTTAATTTTTTTATATATTTGTATTAATTTTATATAACATATTCACCTTGTGTTAAATTAACATAAAAATTTAAGTGGACCGTGGGCCGTTTGGGACACATGAAATACGTTAAATTTAACACTTTCAACTGCACTCTCTGTGTATGGCGATGCGTTAACGCCGACATTGCCATCTCGCGCGATTGCAATTGCCGTTTCAAACTATTCAAAGACGCGCTTCGATCGCATCTCAAGGCTCTCGTTGCTCGGATATCGAGTCACGAGGAGGAGACAAGTTTGGGGCGGCAATTGACGAACGGTATACGGCCGGTAAAGTTTCCCAAGCGACCCACTCGAACTATTCGATTTCGACGTCGCGCGTACGGCATCTCAATACGATCGCGTGTCTATGCTTCCGAACCGCGCGCGTCATCACCATCCCGATCTCTCACGCCTCACGTCCCGTATACGCGATCCGCTTACATCCGTGTTGCTCCGCGTTCCACCAGGTGTTCGCCCATCGCGACGCTTACGAGCAGGTAGTTAGCAAGACGGAGGAGAAGTTGCAGCGTGCCAGATTGGATTACAAGCGCGCCTACGCCGCGTTGCTAACCAACGAGGCCGGCGGTGTCGAGCAGGAGCTGAAGCGCGCTTACCTCGAGTCGCACAACGCCTACATCCTGCAGCTACGCGCCACGAACGCCATTACCGAGCGCTATCAGTTCCATTGTCTGCCGGGTCTGCTGGGCGAGATTGCGGAGGTCTACGAGGAACTTTGCGGATTGGCCTGCAAATGCGTCGCCGGGATCTCGGACGCGGCCGGCGAGCGTTCCGGCGAGCAGGCCAAACGTTATCAGGTCGTGGCCAAGGAAGCGCAGACGGTTGTACCGTCGAACGATCTGCAGGTATGCTACGAGTATATATACGTTCGCTTTTCCGAGAGAATTATGGGACCCGCGAGATATGGAAAACGTATGTGGGAAACGCCTTTCCCTCTTCCTTTATCATCATTTCGCTTCACCGCGGTGTCAATATTTCTTTACGATAAAAACAAAATATTTCAATTTTGTTGAATGAAATAATCCAAGAAAAAAAAAACCGGTCACCATTTTCCATCAGAATCTATGGAACTTTCCAATCGGCATTTGGAGAAGGAGAAACCGCGGTGTCAAGTATTACTTTACGATAAAAATAAAATTTTTCAATTTTGTCGAAAGCAATAATCCAAGAAAAAAAATCCGGCCATCACTTTCCATCAAAATCTATGGAACTTTCCAATCGGCATTTGGAGAAGGCGAAATATACACGCGATTGTCTCTAACTTGTTTCTCGTAAACGGGGCCAAATCTCTCGAGTTTAGCGAGCATCCATCGTGTCAGTCTCGCGGCTCGATCGGTCTCGATACGTCAATCGAAGCCGATCGATCGCGTGGCCGCAGATACGATGCCGCCCCCGTGACGATACGATTATATCGTATTCCGGACATATTGATCACGCATAGCAAATAGACGTACCGGGCATATATCCAATTTCGGGGTGGCAAGGTATCTGATGGCGGATTACAATCGTCGGTATTCGGTGAAGAGGGAACAGAATGAAAACAGGGGCTGCCTGATTAAAGCCGGTCATATTCACTGTGGGGGCACGGCGGCGGCGTTCGGGATATTGGCCGCTCGAGATTTGCCACGTTTATGTGTGTGTGTGTGTGTGTGTTACATGTATTCGCGCGCGTATATCTGATGACGTGCACGTATATCTATGGTGAGTTAACTTGTTCGGCTGACCAAACACGCCGGTATTCACTGATTTGCCCTCCTTGAAATCCGCCGATCGGATCGCGCGGACCCTCGTTCGAAATACCGATTTGTCACTTAAGGCACATTCGTATCGCATTTTCGAGGAATTATTTTGACGCGAGAATACTTTTGCAAGAGACTCACGACGACAGTGACACGGCGAATACTTTTTCCGCTATCTCGCGATGATATCATCGCGTATAGTTGTGCGATCTTCAAATTTCGCGACGCTTGATATATGATTCGCGACGACAAAAAAGATATTAAATCTTTACGTGTGTCACATAAATTTGCGAAACGTCGCTACGTTAACGTTACGTGTGTAACATATCACGCGTTAAATCATTCCACTTTCAATTTACTCCAGTTATTTCGCGAAACGTATTTTACCCCCGATCCCGCCCGACTCCATTTCATCCTTTGCGCCACGTCATACAGTTATATATAAGAACGTAATATCAAATATAATCACTTAAAGTGGCGATGTAACGTCAAGTGTAACGTTTATTTAAGGCCTTGGCGCGAAATCTATCCGCGAACGCGACGCCGAGGAAGCCGCCGCGACGCCTGTACGTCGCGCCGGCACCACCCGAGCAGATACCGATGGAGAGAATCAGTCAAATACCCACGCTCAGGGACGAGCTGGTACCGACGGGCACTAGCACGCTCCCGCTCATGGAGGACCTTAAGCGCGAGTACGACAGCCTCAGCCAGGAAATAGGCCGTCTGCAAGACGCTCTGGACGCACTCGTGCGAATGCAGCGCAAGTACGTATATACTATTTTTGGCGCAAACCGCGCGTATTTGTAACACGACGGGTAACGAGCGTAGCATCGTAACATCAGTCCGTGCACAGCGCAGTTTTTTTTTTTTTTAACACTGTTGTCTGCCAAGCAATTTTTTTATTACCGTGTACGCCACACTAGAATTTTTATTGTTATAAATATATAATGATGAAATATCATGTAATATATTTAAATATATACTCTCTAAATTTTCTGGAGTGAATCTCACTCCAAAAGAGTGAAAGGTCACTCCAGAAAATTTAGGGAGTATGTATTATAAAATCTACATTTTTGTGGGTTCATTTAATCTAAATTGTACACTTTTTATTTCACGTTGTTATCCAGCTATTCTAGCTATACGTATAATATGTGTGTGTGCGTCATTCAGAGTTTTACATTAAATGGTATTTATTTTTTTACAAGCTTTTTAAAAAATTTCGACAGCGGTCATCAGTGGCCCACGTTGGCAGTTAACGTGTTAATTGTACGTAAAAAGATAAATTTCAACTTTATGAATTTTTTATACTACTTGGGTTTTATTACGTGGGTTTGTTTTACGCTTTATGGCAGAAGAATTTTCTGTCACGGTCAAATTTATAATAATTTATTGCAACGTGAAAAACTTGCGAAAAGTTCGAAGGGAATGTGAAATGAATTTTACTATATCATTTGTATTATTGCTGTACTTTTTATCAAGTATGTTTTTATTACCGTCCACACAAAGGGGGTTAATCAAGATTGCTTTCGCGGTGCTTTCGAACGTTTGTTACCTTTATAGCTACGTTTTTCATCCCCCCGTTTCAGTCGGCGCGGGCGGTAGCTCGCATGGAAATACGTCAGTTTTTTAATCTTTTAAGAAGAGAAACACAAGATAAGAGTTATTTTATCACTTGCCATTGCAGGAGCGCCGAGAGTAATCTTTACACGAAAGTGGCCGAGCTGCAGGAAGATATTTCTCTGAAGCGCCTCGACCTCGGCGTGGCGCAACTGCGTCTAGCCGCAGTGCAAGCGCAGGTATGCATGTTCTCCCTTTGTTTTTCCCTTTACTTTTGTTCCCTACCATAATAACCGTACCACGCAACATCCGTCGCGTCGCACGTTTATTATTTTATTTCGTCCACGACGCGGCGTCGCATCTATTACTTTATTCATCCCGATCGATGCAAAAAGTGTATTTGTATTTACAACTCGCGCACGTCAAAACGCGATCGTGCCATTTATTGCGATAACCATTTACTGCGAGTTATACTTATATGGAAAATAAGATACGTAAATGCGATTCTTTTATAAGACCCATTTGTGAAATATGTAGCAGTATGAGATAAATAAAAACAACGAGATACGCACAGAATAACAAAAATATATATATATAATGCAAGAAGAACTTTTCACGATCAGGACTGAATTTCAATGCCACGAAAAGAACACTTTTGCTGAATCCAGATCTGAAAATAATTTTTGTTCAATAATCAAAATAATTTTGTGCGAAGGTCAAAATGATTGCTAAAATATCAAAACGTTTTATAGCAATGCTTATCAGTTTTAACATTCCTACAAATTATTTTGATGATTTAATAAAAAATTATTTTCAGATCTGTTTTTAGCAAAATTTTTAGATCTTTCAACAAAATCGTTCTCTCCGTGTGCCTATAATAATATTTCTGACGTGAATTTAAAAAATATATATTGTGGAGCGGGACTTCTCGAGGTTGAATTCTAGGATAGATGAACCTATATATTAAATGCCTCTATTCGCAGCCTAAAATTGATCAGGCATCTATCTCCCCATTTCATCCAATTTGTCCGACCACGCGTGGCATCCGAGCCCCATCTGTGTGCAGTATATACAGAATGGACGCGCCAGTGAAGAGCTGCTCAATTGTTCGCGCGTTATTAACTTAAAGTGAAAATTGCGCGCCGTCCGGAATTGACAAAAAAAAAGTGGGCCGTTAACGGTAATAGAGTCGCCAGATATTAATCGCGAGTCTTCGGTAACTAATTAATGACGTTATAATTGAAAACTGATAGCGGCGCGCGTTTACAAAATATATAACGACGTTAACTACGTCACGCAATTATAAATATCACGTGTAAACCTATGCACGTTCGTTGAAATATGCTGGCAAATTGGATTTATCACTCCGCGCTCGGGAAATTCAATTTTGTTAATGCGCTTCCGAAATAGATTAACTGCATACAATGGCGTAATCCGGAAAAAGAGAAACAAATACGTTTCGTGAAGGAAAAAAACGCGGAAGCGTACATTGTTGTATAATCTAGAAGAGGATTAAATTTAAAATCTGTGGCCAAGGTAATTTCAGCATGCGCGCGCGGGCACGGGAAAATGTCGCGCGCAGGACCGCGCGTGGCAGCGGGGAGACGCGGCCCACGCGGAATTCGCGTGGAGACGCGGAGGATTTCTCGGTGTATAACGTGTGACAAAATATATGGACAAAGGCGGTCGCCGCCTGTTCCGAAAAGTTTCCTAAGGATGGGTGGCTCGTGGCGTTGGCCATTCACTGGCGATTGGTCATTCACTGGGATGCGCTTTAGCCTAAACGCCGGATAAATACTGGCGCGCGCAATCGGGCGACATGCGCCTTCGCAACTGGGTCAACTCGGCGAGCACGAGCGTCTGAAAATCCATTTCTGGCCTCGTCGTGAGAGAGTCCGTCTATCCAGGTCAGGCGAGCAGGATCGTCGTCGGCTGTCTCGCCACCGCGCGCCGCCGTTTTTACCATCGTGCTTGCCGCCCGTCGTGTGACAGTCGCGATCGCGATTCCAAGCCTGGCACGATGGGATGGACCACGTTACGCACGCGAGTCGTTAGTACCTTTTTTTCCTCCCTGGTGAATCTATCGCGCTCCTGGCACGCGCTACACCGCACCGTACCGAGAGTGCCGCATGATTCAGTGGACTCGCTCGGCGAGTGCACTGGCCGCCCTGATTGAAAAGTGCCTGACAGTGCTCCTAATATCTATATAATTATGAATATTAGCATTTTCTTTACTATCCGATAATACTGTTTCGTCTCGACACGATAATGTCACTCGCTGATTTTCGTTTACATTCTATATAGACTAAATCCACGTGATTTTTCGTTTGATCGCGTAATATCAATCAAAAGGAATCGAAAAATATATATTAATGTACTAATCAAGTTTTTATACAACGATTATTCTCGAACGGCGTGGGGGAACGTTGTGTTATTAGACGGATAAGGAGTTTATTCATTGTGAAGTCCGAGCACAAAGGGGCTAATGTTGCGACAGCGAACAATGGCCGAGTATATTCTCAATGACCAGGGGGGATCAATGAAAGTTAACATGCACGTATTGTCAATGAATATATTCTTGCAGTTGAAAACGGGCGAATCGTAGTCGCATCTCCATAGAAACGTTTCACACCAGGGTGGTGTATCGACGCATTGGTTTTCACACGGCTGACGTGTGTGTTGCTAAGCGCGTGTTTGCGACGGAGATAAAACTCTTGATCGCGGGACGAGAAAATCTTATCCTTATGTCCTATATAAAAACTATGAAAGTGCAATAATATAACAACTCGGTATAGTCGCGGTTTAAAAGTTTACAAAAGAATCGCATTTACGATTCATAAATTTCTTATAGGCACGACAGATAAGGAGCAACTTGTTGTTCACGTTAAGATTTATATGCCGCGATTATTGGCTTTATTTATTTTGATTGGAAGCACCGGGATTTTTTAATTAAAGCGCCACATCATCCGTCAAAATCGCCAGGCTCGCATGTGGAATAACCCTCACGTAATCTCGCTACCTTGCGCGCGATAATTATTATCCGCAAGACGGCATATGTAATGTAATAACTGCGGAGTCGCTGGGATAATACTCCCCACGTGGATGTAGATTAAACTCATTCCGAGTCACGTGTATGTACATATACATGTATAGGGCTCGCTCCTTACTCATTCATAAGGGACGCGTAAACACGCTAATTGATACGCAAAGAAGCGTGTAGTCGTGATCGTAGCTTAGGGGTGATTCCGTGTGCGATGATAATGGGTTTCTTCCCTTGTTCACGAAGCGTAAAATTATACAGAATGTCCTAGATCGCTTTTGCAGATTCGCTAATCGCAATCGGGCCCACATTTTTTTTCGAAGCGTGCGGTATCTTCAATCACAGTTTATTTGATTTCCAACGTTAATCATTTTAATGATTAAACCTCCAAAAATTCCGTTAGATTTTAATTCAAAGAAATTAAATAAAAAATAAAAAATGTGATTTAATGTTATATTCGAAACTTTAATCCTAAATCCTTCATTTGTTAAGGTTCAATTATTCGAGATTTTAAATTTTCCATAAATAAAATTTCTCAATATTAGAAACGCGTTATACATATATTGCACGAAAATGATGACAAACTTTTCCCAGTGTTACTACGAAAAAAATCGCACAAATATTGTACATGTATTAAATGTTTTATAATTATTAGATATTATTTATATAATTATTAAAAATGTATCATGAGATATATATATATTTTTTTTTGCCAATCACAGAAGGAACTTTTCGGGGGTGGCGAGGCCGGTCAACCGGATGGGGTGACCAGTCGGAAGATGTCGAACGGTTCGACCGGAAGCCCGAAGCTGAAATGGCTGAAGGCGTTCAAGAGCCTGAAGACGAGCTCGCCCACGACACCGCCGTTGTCCGACAAGTGAGCTACTTTTATTTCCTTTCCACTAATACTAAATTTCCATCACGTACGTTGCATGCCGCGGGAAAGAAAACGCCGACAAAGTTTCCGACGCGACGGAGATGTGGTTTTCTACACCGGGCGACATGCCGGGAACTATATATTTGCTCCCTCTCTCTCTCTCTCTCTTCTTTCTCTCTCTATATGTACCCTTCGATACAAGCCCCGGAAATGAAAGAAGGATCACTTTTGCTTTTCGAGAGTAAATCCGACATTGATTGTCTCATCCGTGTTTCTCTTTGCCAAACTTTGTTTCCGCGACGCTCAGTAGATGATAGCGCAGCTGGGTACATTCGTGGGATGCGCAAATTTAAATTTCGTAGAGAAAATAATACGTCGAAAGGTAAAAAACGATACAAAGTAAACTCGAAATTCTACTTCGAAAGGATGTTATACTGAAAAAGTCATTGTCATATTCCAATTTCTCTCCTTCTCTGTCACGCAGTGACATATGTTACAAAAAAAAAAACTGTTTTGCGAATCCTACGTGACGTACTGCATGTGAACAAGTGAAATAACGAATGCCCTTCAGAGATTAGATCGTCGCTTTATCGTGATGTAGATAGACACAACTTAACTTCGACATTATACTTTCCCACCCCGTTATTTTAATAAGGAGTTAGAAATTTTCTCGCAAACTTTGAACGTTTAAAATAGGAATGTAGTCACTGTAGGCACTCTTATTCAATATCGATGTATTAACTGGATTAAATGCGAAAGTTCCGCAAGGAAAGCTCGCCCCGTGTATTTGTATTTCGCAAACATAATAATTCACTCGTCAAACATTTCCACCGGCAATGGAAACGCCGTCGCTGTCATCTCGGTAAACAAAACGGCGCACAGCAAATAGAGTTTTTCTTGTTGCACCTTTCGCATATAACTATATAGAAACGACTCTGTTGTCAAAGTCGAACTCTCGAAGACGAGACGTTCCGAGTTAATATATGCTTTTACTTCCGTGCGCTTTGTAAGTTTCCCAATTAGGGGAACCATAGACGTTAGACGAAAGGGACCTTTGAATAACCGTAGATACTGTTTTGCGAATGCTCGACTAATAAAGAGGAAAGCAGGCAACCATGTACCACGCAGTTTCCACCGTCGTCGCCATGTCCAGGTAAGTTTCAAATCGTTCGCGAACGTCAGTTGACGTTTGCAATTCTACTTCTGACATTTGAGGACGGATGTTACCTGATTACTTTTTTTTTATTACACTCAAACCACCGTTAACGAAATGTTTTTTTTTCCTTAACAACTCGCGATTTGATTTATTCTTATTATTTATTCTTACACATATTAACAGACCGCATTGAAATTCTTTGTACGTTAACAGTCTTTAATTCCCTTTTCCGACCTTACATTTCGTTACGTAATTAATAAAAAGAAAAAGACATGCATCGCGTACGCGACACGTCGCTGTAATTAACGTCACGTTTAGAATTTAACGTTGAACTTAATCCTTGGGCAGATTGTAGGTTTTCTCTATTTGATTTTTAATGCACTCTCCTCCCGCAAGAGCACACGTATGACAAACCGGTAAAATAACAGCACGATCGCAAGGGAAACGCACGCGCACGACACCGATCTTCCTCGCGAGAGAGAGACCCGTGGGAACCCGGTGAGACAAGGGCGATTTGTGCTTTCGCAGGAAGAGCCTCGAGTCCGAGGGCGGGCACACTTGGCGCGAGAACACGTACCGGAAGATCACGCCGTGCGACGCGTGCGGCCAGGTGCTGCGCGGCCACAGCCGCCAGGGCGTCCGGTGCCGCGGCTGCAAGGCGAACGCGCACACGGACTGCATCAACATGGTGCAGCCGGCGCTGTGCCCGAGCCTGGCGCCGAAGAAGGGCGGCGGCATACCGCTTCTACGCCGTCAGAAGACGCAGGTGCCCGCCGACGAGATGCCGGCGTCGTCTGAGCACAGTGAGTACGAGATAATTCAGATATGTACATACATACGCATATACGAGTTCCATACGATGCGTTTTCTTTTCCCTCCCGCCAACCTGTCTCCCCGCCATCAGCGAACGCGACAGCTCTCTTTCTCTTTCTCTCTCTCTGACATTCTCTCTCTCTCTCTCTCATTGTCGAGGACATTTTTGTCGGCGAACGAAGGGAACCGGTCGATTTCTCGATAAGCCTGTTATCTGTCACCAATCGGATCGCGGAGGGAATCTTTCTCTCTTTTTTTTCTCTCTCTCTCTCTCTCTCTTTCTTTCTCTCCTGTTCCGCGGGAGAACCTCGGGTTTCCCTTCATGCATGACGTACGCGTTAGTTAAAAATTGTTAGAAATCCATTTGGAGATACAACCGCACAACGCGGGAGGACCTGTTTTTTTTTTTTCGCAATTTCTCTTTGTCGTGTTCTGCGTGTGTAGCGACGAGTGAATGGATCCGGAAGAAAGTACAATGAAGAACTCGAGAAATATAGAAAGTCATTAAAGTGAATTAACTACTGTCCTATATATCCCCGGGAAATTATTCATTGAGAGTAATTTGATAGAATATGAATTAGATTTTAGCTTTTTAATCGAAAAACCTTTCAAGACACTCGAAACTTGCTCTACAATTCCATTCATTCGCTGAAATTGTGTAACTGTTGCATATTAAAAAGTAGTGAAAGAGTGAAATGCTCGTCCACAACCATGCAAAGTTGGATTTTTGATGCAGAAAATAGCATTCCTTATTACGGACTTTAAAATCTGTTTTTCTTTACAAAAATTTAACTGGGTAACATTTATTCTCAAGATTTTACCACGAAATTAAATAATAACAAACGTAAAACTAAAAGTTTGTTAAAAAGTCATTTGGAAAAGTGGACTCATTATTTCCCTTTGGAGCATCTCTTTGCACTACGATTTAAGTCGCGAAGACTATTCGTTCGTTCGCGCTGTTGCCAAAGCCGCTATATCATTTATCGCGCGCCATTTTCTTATCATTTATCAACGCCAATACGAAAAAAGGGAAGAAGAAGACAGATCGATGTGAGAAAAATTGAGCACTCTCGCGGACTGCGAGCGCGCGATTCGAAAGAAAAAAAAATAAAACACCACGAACTCAGTCCGTTCGATATGCGCTTCTGCATTGCTGTGTCTCTTTATCCCGTATGGGCAGACGTGGACGCCATATACCAGGTGCTGAAGCAGGCAGGCGAGATACGTGGAAACTCGACAAACTCACCACCTACGCCTCCCACAGCAGAACATCCCCCCTCCGGTGCAGCACCTTCGTCAGCGAGGGCCTCCTCCCATCCCTGTTCCTCGTCCACCTCTGGTAAGGCGCACCACCAAGAATTCCTGCCGACCTTGGAACGTACGTCGGAACCCCGAAAATTTTCCCACGTACAGTGGCGGATTACGTGCGCGACATTCGCCGGGTTCTCGGGACGAGTAAGCACGTATCTCGTGTTCCAGAACTTCGTCTCCCTGAACTTTATTCCTTTTTGTGTCGTTATTATTATAAACCGTTGAATTTTATGAAACTACTAAAAAAACGTGATTTTTTTTCAAACCTCTTATTACAGAGAGTAATAAGAAGTTTCTAGGATAAGAGAATTTTTAGTAGTATGTCTCTTGAATAAAATTTTCCTATTCCGAATACTGTAATCCGTCGCTGGGAAAAATTCATAGAATTTGAAATCCAAAGCTATAGTTCAATTTTAACAATCGATACGCTTGTGAAGCTGAAACATGCAGAAGTTATTGGGGCATATCTCTCTGTCGACGTAGTACTGGAGCAATATATTTCTCGACTGTGTATCTTACCTCCCACCTAATCTAATTGTAAGTTCGTATCGATATTTAATCCATTATTTTTTTCTGTATAATTCGGTACAATATTCCCTAATTTTTATTTCAATTCTGTAAGCTGAATAATCTTTCTTATTAAACTGTAAAGGAGATAAGTAATTTTTAAGTTATCATTTTTATTTTTTAGTAGTATCGTAGAAAAATTATTATTACCATACTTATACAGAAAAGAAGATAGGAATGTAAACTTAATTTAATGAGCTGCAACGTATTTATTAGTTTTTCTATAGTTGTACATGCAATGTACAATTCGAATTAATAAAATAAGTGTCGTATAAATCATCGAAAAGTATTGTATAAATTATCAAACGCAATTCGAAATTTTCAATATTTGTTTAAAGAGAAGCAATACGTGCAGGTGATTCACAAATTCTCTGCCTTTGTAGTTCAATCTCACAATCAGTACCTTTGTAGCTCTATCTAATTCCATCTCGTATTCCTATCTTCTCGACTGCTAAGTTATTGTTGTGTAATTGAATTTATGTATTATTTCATTTTAAGCACGTGTATATGTGTGTGCGTGTTTAATGTCGTTCGTGCTCCAGTACTGTCAGTTCCAAGGTCTGAAGTCATTCTATGTGTTTATGTAAAGCCGCTCGTCTTCTTCAGGGACATGACTCGTAAAAATTCGTAATTCTATCGATTCTTTAATGTACACTCTCCTTTCTTCTTCTTCTCCTTCTTCTACACCTATTTCTTTCTCTATACTGCTACTTCTCTTCTATCTGTATTCTGCTTGTCATTAAGATTAATTTGATCGATCTTTAGAGGTAAGTCGCTAACGTCATTGTTGATATTATTTAACACTCTGTTATTACGTTATATCGAAAAGATTATCTATAGCGATACGACGATTACACATTTGTTACATTTGTCACACCCAGGACGATAAATATGGCCATCTGCCTAATTACATGTTCTATACTTTTACACTTTTATCTGTTTTATCTATCGTCATTATTTATACAGCAATTCTTAATGATCCATAAATTGTACAATTAGTACAATAAATTGACCTTGACAAAATATCTCTAGATGTACGACGGCCGCGTCGCTAATAATTTTACACATAAAATACATGCAAGCGTATTGATTTATCGAGCGACCAGACAGTTTTATTTTAATTCTCGTAACAATGAACTACGTACTTTACTGTCTTCGTTTTCAAACATGCTCGATTTTGAAGAAGCTCTCGAGCTCCCAAGAATCATCGATAGGATCGAGCAGGATTTATTGGTTTTTTGGGCTGACTTTGTCGTCGTGGGTGTCTCCTCGACGACGAGAGAAATAATTTATCGCTTCTCGCCCTCTCGACTTTTTATCTCGCGGCTTATCACGAAGGCTTATCAAGTTCCCCATCCCAAATCACCCCTCATTAGCTTTCTGTCATATGTCCGACTGAATATCTGTATATAATAATAATAATAATAATAATAATAATAATAATAATAATAATAACGGCTGATGATGACGGTATTAGACCGTAATAATTCATAAGCAATAATTGTAACAATCGCAATAAGTAGATATTTAATAAATAATAACGGTAATGTTAGCAGTCATAACAGTGGCTATAATAGTCATTAAGTTAGTTATAGCAGTTGTTACATTTAAGATTATTATTAATAGTAGTCATAATAGTAGTCATAACAATGACTATAATAGTAGTCATTAAGTTAGTTATAGCAGTTATTATATTTATAAGATTCCTCTTTTCAATCATTTAATTTGCTTCTGCCCCCCTTCTTTACGTTTCGTAGTCGCACATTTTTCACAACCGTATATATAGACACGTACGAAACGAAACTATAATATCGCTATAATAAGAATAGTGCTATACAGAAAAAAAAATCAAGTAACCATTTAATGGAGGATAACACAAGGACTAACGAGAAAATTATATATATCGCCGACTAACCCCCGCCTGAGGAGCATCAGTAACTTCCGAATTTTTCCAACCTGCGATAGTCTAATGCGAACTATTAACGAGAACTTGTGCGAGTTTGACGATTTGCCGTAACCCTTAAAAAAAAAAAAAACTCTTGGAACTGAGTGATCAGCTCAGAGAGAAATCGAATGGAGAGTGAATCAGAGAGGCAAACTGACCGCTGGAAGAGAGCACGGAATGTTCGCTGTGTGATCCGCTGTGATCGTTGTTGAAATTTGATTGATCAGGACGCGGCAGCGGTGGATCCACCTCCGGCACGCGGCCCTTCGGCCAGCCTCTGGTGCTGATGTCGCAGGAATCGCCGCCCTCGACGTCGGCCTCGCTAAGGACACCCGAGCTGGACGCGGCGCAAGCACAGCGCGGCGCCAATAAAAAACGATGACGGTGCGTCGCATCGCGTCACGTCGCGTCGCGTCGCGTCGCCTCGAATGGCGCATTCGCGCGCCGCGCGAGTGCATCCGAGTGCATCCGTGGAGTACGACAAATCCTTCCGGTGAAGGATCCACCCCGAGAACACCGCGGCGTCGCCGGCCTCGTCGTTTTTCCTTCTGCTCGAGCGTTATCGATTTTATTTATCCGTTTGTGCGACCCATTCCTCGATTTTCTTCCCACCAGTCCGCGCGACGAGAGGAGCATATTTGACGGACATTCTTGGGTATATATATATATATATATATATATCGAATATCTAAATATATCTCGGTAACCCCCGGTTTTTTGAACTTGTTCGTTAACCGCCCGTTGCTTATTGCACACGCGGGAATGACTGTTATACACACGAAGGGGGCATAACGAATATTTAACGTTACATCTGTATTTCACGGCTATGTAATAGCAGTATTATTAAATATTAAAAGGTCCGAATGTGTGCCGCGCGGTGATAATTTAGAAATGTCCAAGGGACATTTCGACGTGTCCGTTAAAATGTCCGCGTTGTATGAAATAACGTCACCTACAACTCGTTAATTCGTTATAGTATAACTCGACTACGTTTCGTGACGCTCGAGGAGAGACACGTATTTCACGCTCCTTGATTAATAGTGGCTAATGGACGGCCACGGGGACAGCGAATATCGGACAGATGCGCAAACGTGGGTGTCGATTCTCAGTCGAGTGTATCGATCCGGCTGTGTACACAGATACAGGACGCTATATATATATATTATATCAACAACGATCGAAAAGCAGGTTCCTCACGCGAATCGAGCGCATCACGAATGCACGATCATTTGGAAATTTATTTTCCCCGAGATAATTAGCTAACTGCACGAAGAGAAGGAAGAGGAGGAATACCAATATCCAGAGTAAAGAGTGCATTGCAGGATCACGGCGAGAAGAGCGCAAATACGCGCTTTTAATTTGAACTTGATTCGCCCAACATCCCGGAGTGTGTTCGCCTATTTGTCTACCGTTCCACATCGCAACGGTCATTCGCGATTCGACGCGATTCATCGCGCTAGGAATTGTTTAACAGATCGGGGCAACGCGAGAGCACACGGAAAGAACGATTTTGTTGAAAGATCTAAAAATTTTGCTAAAAACAGATCTGAAAATAATTTTTTGTTGAATCATTAAAATAATTTGTTAAAACGGATGTTAAAACGAATAAGCATTGCTATAAAACGTTTTGATATTCTAGCAATCACTTTGACTTTCGCACAAAATTATTTTGATTATCGAACAAAAATTATTTTCAGATCTGGATTCAGCAAAATTGTTCTTTCCGTGCACCGTTCCAAAAAGTGTCTGTTCCGAACTAAAGTGTAAGTTCGAATAAAAGTTCCAAGTTTGATATACATATACTGATTATTGTTCCGAAAAACATAAACTAAATTTCGAAAATGTAATATGCATGAAATGTAAATTTTTAACAGAAGAGTGTGCGCTATCCGGAAGGACATCAGAAAGCTCATGGGATTATTATCTCTCTATTCCTTTTCGCGGAATTATTTAAATTACCATTTCAAGCGAACCGATTTAATTAAGACTTTTTTCCCCGTGCTTTTCGTTCTTGTTATTTCCCTTTAACGCGAATGATTTGTAATCGAACTCGAGGAGGATATAGATTGGAGGAGAAAAAAAAAATCCTGCTTCCAGCAACAGAGGAAAACCTTTCCAGAGATACGTTTCGAATAACCGTTATGTTCGTAGATATTGACTGTAACAAATGTATTAAATCGCAAAAAGTGGATTTATTGCTTGAACGGAACGGAAAGGCAATCGCAGTTTGTGGTTCGTTACATACGTATGTAAATACAGCCTGCGAAAGACAATTTGCGCTTTGCTGTCGATTTAAATCGATATAACACGGCCACTATCGCTTTTTACGCTGATACGCGAACGAGGCTGTTTTATCGGTTCCGCCGTATATGGGGAATCTCTTTATTATCGAAAACAGGACGGGATTTGCCTCGCGTTCATTTTCAATGCCCAATACGCCGCCGTTAACGTCGCACGACATTTTTTTTTCTCTTTCGTTTACTACCTTCGCGAGTGTATGAGTTAAAAAAAAAATGAATATAATCTTAGGACACGTGTGAACGTATATAGCTCTCTCCGCGTTATATAAAATTTTAGAAACGTGCTTTTATCGGCGGTACTGCGATGAAAGTAAATATTTAACGGTAAAGCTTTAGAGAGACGTTGAAACGCCTTTATACGATGGTATACTTTGCGTTTCGTTGCGAGAGAAACGCGAGTTGAATCTTTGCGCACCGAATATATCGCAGTTTTCTTCCTTATTATAATTTATCGTCGTACAACGCTTGTCTACTACTCGTTGAAATACGCGATTAGGGAAAATAGAAGAAGAAGAAGAAGATTGAAAAACCTCATATATTATTTAGAATAATAGAACCGAAAAGCTTGTTATGTGCAAAAAGTTATCCCACGCGCGCACATCGAGTGAATTTTATCTGCGAATTTCTCTCGACAGAAGCACATGTAAATATTGTAAATAAAAATCTTATTTTCCGCAATTTTTTCAATATTTTCCATAATTTATCGCGAGTCGTGTCCCTTAATTGTTGCTGCTTGTGAGCTTTTTATTTCAGCATACAAATTATGTTGAGTAATTAGTGCATCTGTAAAGAACTGCTTGTCCTGCTTGCTCGTGCAACCGGTACTTCCATATTCGACGCTGACGATCGATTATCTCTTTCTAAATTACTTTCACTGATTTGCTGAATTTTACTTGTAAAAATTAATGGAGTTATCTATCGCTCGACTAATTATGGAAATTTTATTCATCTCGTAATTATTACTTCTTTTCGTCATTTTTTATGTTTAATTACACGTTGAAGAGTCTTAATTTAAACTTCTAAAGAAAAGTCTATTCAAAGAGAAGAAACGAAATAAATATTCAAATTTTGAACTTCACGTTACTAGTAGTCAAGTATAAGATTCTATAATCCTATAATAGGATGTTTATTTCTAAATTATTTGAAACGTTTGTTAAAAAAATATCATTTTTTCATTTTTCGTCAAAAATTCATGCTGTCTAAAAATCGAATATTCGGATCGGATGGAATTTTCAAAAGAAGACGTATGTCGGAACGACGTAGATTTTTCACTTTTCGGATATTTCTTTTGCCAGTCGTGATTTATTATACCTAATTTTCGACGTCAGCGTGGAAAATGCGACTCCACTTACCGTGAGCTAACACATTTCTAACCGATAATTATGAAAAACCAAGCACCGCATAGTCCGCAACGTAGACGCGAGAGGCTGAACCTGCGGATGAAGAGTCTCAGCTTGGATTCGCCGGAAGGCACCGCGCACGTGCGGCACCGTCCGCGGGATTATTATGCCGCGGGTGCAAGAGAAACCACACCGCCCCGACATTCTGACAGCGGCAGTATCAACAGGCTGTGTGAGTAACCGCAAATGTAATAACGCGATGTGTAATATTAGGTTGGCGCATGTAAAACGGCGGTTGATTCAGCGAGAGAGGGAGTTTCCCCAATCGTAAAACCGTTTAAAAGCTCATTTAATTAAGCTTGAATGTCTTAAGAATTTAGTTACAAAAAAGTTATGAAAGTTAATGAATTTTTTTCCGTGCTCAATTATCGCGCGCGAGCGCTCCTGTAAAAATTTGTATTTTAATTCGCGGATTTAAATTTTCAAGTTACGAGAGACGCGCGGTATTAATAAAATGCAAAACACTGAAAAATTTACATTTTAGTTTATAACTTGCAAATCGATACGTAATCTTACAGTGTTGCAATTCGTGATATATAAATCTCGTGCGCGTGGAAAAAAAAGATATTAAAAACACAATAAATTTTAATACGCGGAACTCGAGATATGTGCCACGTATGTAAATGTAAATGTGGTTTTCAATATGCGATTATTTATAAAAATCACGTTAAATCTAGATAAAATCAGATTGCTCGCTTCGAAAGGGGATGATGTGTATAGCAACGCCGAGACCTTTAATTTTATCTGTGAGAGCGCGAGATAGCCGTTTCACATGTGCCGATCTAATTAGTCTTTGAACAATATAGCGAGCCGCGGATTCGCGCGTGCAAATATTATTTTCCAGCGCCCTGCAGCCCGGGCCAGAGCCACGGGATGCACAAACACGTGCGAAGCGCCATCCGGATGTCCAGCATGGAGCTGCCGGACGACAACGAGAAGTCGTACTCGTCGGCGAGCACGTCGCCGTGCCCGTCGCCGCACACCAACAATCAGAACCACCTGAATCCACCCGGCAAGCGCGTCCTGCCGCCGAACAACCTCTACGTCGTTCTGTACAACTTCGAGGCGCGACATCCAGACGAGCTGGACCTCAAGTAAGACCTTGTCTCGTGTAGCATAGAAAAAAAAACCGGCGCTTCTGCCATCCCCTTTTCACAAGCCCTCATATAATAATTTAATAATTAATCACGAATATTTTTGTCTCAAAGAGATGCATAGGTTCATTACTTCGGATTATTTCGGATACATTACTTCGGGCATAACCAAACCAGACAATGTTTTTTTAATTATTTAATGTTATAATATTAAATTATTATTATTATTAATTAATAATTATTATTTAAAAAAGCAATCCGCCGATTGGTTAATCCGAAGTAAAAAACGTTTTTCATTTGACTTTAAATTTTTACTTCTAATTTTATTTCTTCGTTATACGTAGTATCAAATATCATTTAATTATTTAATATCAGATTCAAGTTATTCCGAGTATCTAGCTTATTTGGAAAGTAATTTGTGCAATTTTTACTTTAAAAAATAAAATTTAAGAGTAATTATAATTTTCTTCGTAGGCACGATCATAATGTAGATACCTTAAATGCTCTTGCGTGCAAGTATTTAAGAAGAATTCGCAATTACCTCCATCAACATTATTATTTATGCAATGATTAAAAAAATACCGTGAATGGCAACGTAACGTTATAGTCGCGTAAATAACAATTATTAATAGACTTGCCAGTCGATGTATCTTTAGTTGTTCCTCCGATACTCCTTGCTATAGTTATCCTTTTATCCAATACAGATCTCCTTTCAGCCAATATATCCTTTTATCCAAATAGTACGATTACGCAATATTAATTATAACGTCGAATCGATCGAATCATCGCTCGTTTCCTTTCTACGGCACTCCTGGAACAGCGTTTAAATAAAGCGGAAATATGATAACGATCAATTTATTCGACACTTTCATTTTACTCTCTAAATTAAATCAGGTTTCGAAAAAATCGCTAAAAATTCGGTGTTAATTATATCTACGAATAATAAAACGATGATATTTTCCATAATGATATATATCTGTCGATACTTTCTTATTAAATTTTTATGTAACGTTTTTCTCAGATTTTAATTTAAAATTATCGTGACCACTGCAAAATATTACATTTCTTAATTATTCACGTATATATAATTTGAAATATTCAATCAATATTAATTACAACGATCAATATTAATTACAAAATCTTTATAGCTATAGATAGTGATTGCGATGAAAAAGTAAAAAGTTATCGCGCTACCAATTACCTGCCAATTACGATACGATAAAATTATTGATAATTACATTACGAATGTAAATATCTCTAGTAACTGGATAATTAATTCAATATTAATAAAATTGTGCTCATTCTACACATATATAAATATTGCCAGCGCATACATAATATAGTATTTAATTACTGCAAACTTAAATATTGGATATTCCAATTAATTCGCGCACTCATCCGGTACATTCATATATGTCATAAATTTATCATGCGAGTAATCTTGCAATGATAAATGCAGTTCGTAATCGGTATTCAATATATATGTTCGATCGAAGAGTGATCTACATTATCGGCGCGACACTCTTTAGCCGGCGACGCGACGGTCGCACGGAATTTCACTCAACGGAACTGTCATACTGACGCCACGTACGGATTATTCCAGTATCTTCGACGGTCGCGCGAAAATTCACTTGACGAATCTGCTCCACCGTCGATGCGGCAAACCGTATTCAACGGCGGATTTTTCGTCAGACGCGACAGATTTCACGTTTAGGTACATGCTGTTACAAGAATCTCGCGAATCAACTTACATTTACGAGTCCGGAGAGTGTCGAAATACGTTAAATCAGAGCGAACGTCGGAAGGTTCAAACATCGGCGACGCCGCGAACGCGGACGAGCACGTCTCGCTCGTCGATCGTTGTCCGTTCGAATCACCAGTAATCACATCCGTCAATCGATTCTGCTCCTCTCCTGTCCGCGCTGTGGACGCTCCGGATTACACTCGCGATACTCCCAACTCTGGACACTCGGACAACCCGAACGGATTGAAAGCGGCCGGCCGGGCAGCGCCGGATACACGATAACACGGGCTCGCGCTCGCGCTCACGGTGCTCCGAAACGATCATCCGTCACTCAATCCGTCAATTCCGATGTACTCCGACACCGTGAGATCCATCCCCGTGCGCGTAAACGCGAGGAAAAACGCGGAGCACCGGCGGCCCAAATCCGAACGGCGGGCAGTGGGCGATGCGACTCACGCGACTGTCGATTGTCGAACCTTCCTCCCACTCCCCCCCTCCCGCCCCCTCGCCCACCGTCGCCGCGCCAAGCCGCGAAAGCCGCGAGGGGGCGAGACGGGCGAGGCCGGCGGAGCGCGTCCAAAATTTCCAGGAAAGCGAGATTCTCCGTAGCGCGCTCGCTCGCCAGCGAAAAAAAAACTGACAACACGACGCGGTGTTTATTTACATTTTGACGCTCACGGCGGCGGCGAGCGAGACGGACTGTCGAATATTGCAGTATTGCACGCCGCGGCGAGACGCGGGCGCGTACGCGGCTAACTTCGTAGGTATCCTCTAACCTCTTCTCGCGGTTTCGTGTGCGAAATTTCGATTGTGTGTGTTGGCACCTTAGAATATATATTAATAATGTAATGTATCGCGGCATTGCTGCAATAGTGTCACATCTCGAGAATTGACAATTTTGAGTTGTTCATTGGAAAAGATGGATTTGTGGCGTTTATCCGGTAAAACATCGAAACCACGTGTTGATTTTCAATATCGCATTTCGAGAAAAAACACCGATTTTGAAAATTTTCTACTACACTCTGAACATACAAAACTTTGAAAAGCGTCTCCTGAAAAATTACGATTTTTGAAATAAGACCCTCTTGCAGCAATGCCGCGATATGTTCTAAGATTGTGGCACGCTGTGCCACAGCGAAACGAAAAAAGTAATAATAGCGACGTCACCTCGAGCGAATTGTCGCATGAATCTCGCGGTAAGTATAAAATAATTGAACGGGTTGAGGTAGACGATTAATCGATGTTGAAACGAATCGTTTTTATTGAACGAGTATGTTATACGTATCAGATTGTTGCCATTAATTTGCGAACGCCCAGTGGAAACTGAAATACACGACCTGCGTTACATTTTGCTCTCGATATATAATAAATACAGATCATGATTTAATCGCAATCGGGGATAATTATTCGATACGCGATATAATCACTTTGTTTACATCGATCTCCCTATTCTCCCATGCTCGTGTATCGCAAGTCACAGCTAAATTAATATTCGCGCAAATTAATGCTCGTTACCGTTTCGTTTGTGTAATTTACAATGCGTCGGCGTGTGGTATGCGGTGTGTTGAGATTCACGTGTACGTAATTAACGCGTGCGCCTCGCCTAATTACAGGGCCGGTTACAAGATCACGGTGATCGACAAATCCGAGAAGGACTGGTGGAAGGGCAAGTGTCTCGGTGGCCGTGCCGGTTATTTTCCAAGTGCGTACGTTATGCGGGTGGAATCCGGTCAAAGGACTCTTCAGGTCACGCGCAACCTGCAGCTGGCTGATCAAACTCTACTGCGAGATCAGGTATTTATGTGCACGGTGTGCTAAAAGTTACTTGTCAAAAATATTGACATAAAACAATTATCTTATCGCCGACATTTCAGCTCGCATAATCTTACTTTTATCAATATAGATATTTATTAAAGTTTTATGTTTAAAAGATACTCTTTTTTTCAAAGATTCATTAATTTCTGAGAGAATATTTCTCGATTAATTAAGCCTAGAAATTAAATTATACAACATCTGTATAAAATTTTGATTTCGATCTCTTGAATCACCAGAAAAGCGTATCATTTTAAATAATTAAAAATATTTTTAATCTACACTTCTTGAGAAATTCTTGTATTTAAATTCTTAACTTTTATTTGTAATCTATCGAAATTCTATCATTGAGATTCATTAATTTTTTTCGTGAATTTGTGAATTTGTTATTGTGAACCTTTTTATTCTTAAATCCCTGGTATCTGTAATTTTAATAAGAAAATACGAAAATTGTATGAAAGTTTCTGCGTATTCGTATTATTTAAATCAACTTTTGCCTCGGACAGTAATAAGTTACTTTTGTATATTATAATAGTAACACCTGTATTAAATACCGCTAATTTGAAGAAATTTGGAAATATGAATCTTTCAGATTTGTATATATTAAATATCTCTTTACTTTCGCATTCTCAACATAACTCACAATTTTCCAACGCTCGTAAGTTCGTTACACGATGTACGTAGATCGTGATCCAAGTGGGCGAGGAGGTGGACGGGGTGGCGATGGTGAGATGCGCGGCGGACGTGCGTTCCGCCGATCACACGGGCAAGGAGGGCGACGTTCTCTACAAGGAGATCCTCTGCCCCCTCAAGTACCTGCAGGAGGTGTGACAGCAGCCTTATCATCACCAGGTCGTGACACGCGGCGGTAGCGCGATCGCGGGCAACGAGCGTCGCCGTTGCGCCGATATGCGCGATCGTTTCTCGGCGCGTCGCCACGTCGCCGAGAAGTATTACGATTGCCTGCAATGCGCCGAGCAGTGCCGTCACGCGGACAACGGCAACCCCAGCGGCGGCGGGAACAACAACAATAACTACAGCAACAACAATAACGGCAAGAACGACGGCGGGGCCGTCGGTCGTCGGATTCGCGACAGCTACCGTCTGCCCGCCACGAGCGCGGAGTTGTATCTCGACGAGGAGGCGTCCCCCGACGAACTCAGGAGAATTCGGAGCGCGAGGAGCATCAGCCTGGGCAAGTCCCTGGCGAGGCATCAGCCCGCTCACCTGACGCCGGTCAAGAAGAGGTCCTCGCTGGCGCGACCGGTTCGCGTCCACGACTCCTTCGTGCAGCCGAGACGGCCGATGGCCGAGGAGAACGGCTATCACCAAGACGATCCGCAGCGCGGCCAGCAGACCAAGAACCCGTGGTGGTGGGAGCGGCGGGATCATCAGGAGCCTAACACGTCGAGCTACGCCTATCACCGCGACACCGAGGACGGCAGCGCCGGCTGGCCTATTCGCCTGCGGCTCGAGCAGATGCTGGAGCTCACGTTGCCGCAGACCAAGCGCAGGAAGAAGAAGAAGAAGAAGAAAAAGACGGCGACGGCGACGGCGACGATGATGCTGATGAAGCAGCAGCAGCGCGGCAGGCACAGCTTCAAGGATACCGAGAAGCTCCTCAAGGTACTCAGCATTAACAATGTGGACCAAGATAATAGGTACAACGTCAAACGATGTTCCGTCATGTAGAGATTAGCGTAAAGAGAGAGAAGGAGGAAGACAAAAAAATGAAAAGTAACAAACAAAAAAAAAGCAGACTTCTTAAGGAGACACCGTAGGACTCTCTGATACGCTCGTATCTGGAATCCTGCTTTCGGGCGTTACTCGCGGCCGAGTGGAGCCACGAAGATCGAAGCTTCGAGTCTGTGCTTTTGGTACTTATGTAATAATTTTCGGTGAGTTTTTTGTTTCATTTAAATTCTTTGTTTCTCAGTTGTGGAACGCGTGGGGAGAGACAAGCGAGAAGTCGCAGCGCGACGAAAATCTCCCGCGCGCATTTATCTTCGTCTTTCATTTATCTATCTGAATTTTACTTGTATACGAAAATTGTCTGAAAATTTCATTCGTATTCGTATTATTTAAATCAACTTTTACCGTGGACAGTAATAAGTATTACTTTTGTAGTAACTCCTGTGTTAGATACCGCTAATTGGGAGGGCTCTGGAAAGATGGATTTTTTTTCTTTATTTTTCTAATAATTTGTAATCTGTTTCAATCTTTATTCTGAATTTATTATTATTAATAACGAAAAAATTGCTAACTACTCGCGACGTTTCGAAGCGTTTCATTCTTCGACGACCATTCGCGGCCTCGATAACGCGCAAAGCACTTTAGAGACAGAAACCGTTTCCGTTTCGTTCTTCCTAGCTCTTTTCTCGGTTTAAAGCTAGAGATTATCTACCCCTAGCTCTGCGTATCCCCGATCCGCTGCTCCGGCGTCTCGAGATCCAATAACCCTTTATTGCTTTTGATCGGACATTTTTACTTTTATAGGACGAAGTGGTCAGTGTCGCGACCCAAAAGAAAAAAAAGCTTTATATATAGCAACTCAGCGACTTATAATCCATTATTACTCGCGCGAAAGTTTATCGCGTCTCGTCGCTTGGTTTTTTAAAAGTCCACAGAGATCAACACTTTATATCTCCCGTGTGCACAGGTGCGCACAATCGGAGCTAATTAATCGTTCGTATACCCGCATCCGCGCGATAGCGAACCAAAAGGATTTCAAGCGAGGCGGCGAGAGGAAAGAGAGAAAGTAAAAACCAATTTCATTCCACTAAACTGCCTGGGATCATCGCGGACGCTTTAATCGCGAGCTCCTCCCAAGTTTTCGCGGCGACAGCACCACTCCGAATTATTTTTTATATATATCGAGGAAACAACCGAGCGGTATAATATCGTGCCGGGCGCGAAAATTACTCACGGCGGCTTTTGCGAATCGCCTGTTTGCGATTGGAGAAACGAGTGAACGTAGGTGGGTGCATCGCATCTATATATACGGTCTAGCCAGAGTGGTAACTTTCGAGAAAATGAAATTCGTAATGCGGAATTTATAACTATACCACCTTCCAATTACGTTTTAGAGTATCATGAGAGACTCTTAGAGAATATACGAAATACTTCTACTTATTATTCTCTTCAAAGCTGGTCTTTGTATAATTATTATTAATTCTGTAACCTGATAACGTTCGCTCTTTAACTGTAGCTGATATCATCGCGCGTTATTAAATTGACGTCATACGCGAGGTGCTGGGAAAGCAGCGGTTTATATTTGTGGGGACAAATAAGATTTCGCGATATACCACCTACGTTCGCTCAGTCTCCACGTGCTCGTCCCGTTGACGCGTGGACGACGATCGTTCCGGTGGAGAGCAGCAAGTATGTACCTATACAAACAACGGATGTACACGCGTAAATCCAAGTGCCATATATTGCGTCGCGACAGCATTAAAGCCTATATAAAACCTAAGCATTTTGAATGAACGTTCCAGTATTAAGTACATAACAAACATAAGGTGTGTGATTCGAACGTGTAATTCGTGACGCGCGATGATTCGAGATACGCACTCAACCCCGCCCTCCTACCCACCGTCGTCGTGTCGTAGGTAACCCATACGTGCATATAAATAAAATAGAGGGTAATTCGAAACCCTCCACCCCCCCACCCTACCCCCTTCCTCTGTCCGCGAAACGTACGTCACGAGGGAGATAGAGTCGGTTCGCGTGAGCTCACCTGCGCGTTAAAATCGTAACACGATTGACGATCGATGAAAGTGAGTGACGATGCTACAATCTCGGATTGCGGATCTTATAAATTCGCAATCGTCAAAGCAGCAAAACTATTTTCAACAAACACACACACACACACACACACACACACACACACACACACACACACAAAACACACGTTACGTTTTCGATTCATTTCCGCCGCTAATTTGCACATTTCCGATTCGCGAGGCGATATCGCGAGAGAAAACGACGACGTCGAGGATCCCGCGCCACACGTTTGACAAAATAAGAATGCCGCGCGCGCATTTAAGGGGCATTTACACGATTCTCGACTCCGTCGCGATTTTAACACGCGTGCAGGACACTCGCGAATCGAGCTGGTGAGATAATACGTAGGATACCTTATACAGCGCGACACCAAAGCGCGCGGATTAGGTGCGAGAGAGTATTCGTTAATATATGTTATTGCATTGTAATTGTATTCTCACGAGTGCCCTTCCTTCGTTAAGCGTTACAACTCTAATCGAGTTGTCGAAGCGTAGCGTAGAGAGATTACGTGAAGCTGACCTGCAAAGCCACCACTCCCAGTATTTTGTAAAAAAAAAAAAGAAGAGAAAAAAAAAGAGTACGTATTTTACGAGTTTACGGGATTGCGATCCACCACACGGCGTTCAGCACGATCGGAGACGCGCGCGCGATCCGCGTTAACGGATCGCGAGTCGAATAAATCGCGATAGGACGATTTAGATTTAGCGAGCGGCTCACTGTGTGCGTATCTTTGTTTTTTTTTTTTGTATGCTTTCGTTTTGGGATTCATTGTGCCGAGATATGGGAGAGGAGGTTTGACTTCGAACCGGGCGTGAGAATGGCTGCGGATTATTAACTGTATCCGGTTTGACGTAATCCTCGATGTTGATGGATATGTTAACGAGTCTATAGTCCGTTTACAGAGAGAACCTTTGTTATACACCCGTGCAAAATGTATCGTTTGGCCGGAAAAATAGACTGCACGAAAAAAATATATTATCTATATAAAAAAAAAAATATATATATATATATATATCATATATGTGAATGTCTCTCTATGTCTGTCGATGTGCCAGCTCCCAGTTTTTCTCATACCTTTCTACCCTTCGTCCTTTTTAGGATCGGCGTCTCTTCGTCACTTCTTTATAAATTAAATCGACGGGAGCTTGTGCATAGAACTGCATAGCTTCCATCCTCGAGAAATCAAGATAGCAATATAAAAATTCTCTTGTACAGGAAACGATTCCAACGCGCCGGCAACAACTCCGTGTGCAAACTGAATTCTTATGAGGCTTATGACTTTAGTCGCACCTATTCTTCGCGCGGGACACGAGCTTATCTCTCGAAAATAATGGGGAGGATTAAGATCAAACCACTTGAATAATAAAGCAGCGATATTTTTTTATTATCCTCACGTACAGTACATTCGAAGCGCCAGCGATCCCCGCTCATTAAAATTCTCTCGTTAAAAATTCTCTCTCGTTAAGAGTCTCGATGGCTCGCCGGGCAATGCATATATATATAAATACGAGACTATCGTGCGCGAATCGCGGCCGGCATTCTCCGAAATATTCTTCCTTTTTTCCGAGCTTTCTTTCCTCCGCGACATTGATACAAATTTCCGCGAATTTCGATTCCGATTACCGTCACCAGATCGAATAGCCGCTCTTTACAGCTTGTATTTAGCTCCCCGGATGAGCGGATACTTGTCGCCGGTGCACACGCCCCGGAAATCGTCCAGGGACAGATCCACGATCGCCACGCCGCCGAGGCCCTTGGACTTCACGTAGGTGGCCTTGTTGCCGGCGGTGTCGGGGTCTTCGTAGCCCGCCCAGATCCCCTCGGCGCCGGTCTCGCCGTTGTACGACTGGTAGGCGTAGCTGCCGTACTTCTTGGACGGATCGCCGACTCGTCGCAGCCGTCCGGCCGCGTGCTCGGTCAGCCTGGAGCACATCTCGGCGTAGGACAGCAGCCCGGGCTCGTTGGTGTTGGGTCCGGGGGCGCCCGGGCCGTCGGTCACGATCGGCGGCACGCCGGAGATCTGGCTCTCGGACGTCAGCTTCCACGTGCGCGCGTACGTCGGGATGCCGACGACGATCTTGCTGCCAGGAGTTCCGTTCTCCAGCCAGTACCTGCGGGACATTGCTCTCCGTTATTCCGATTTTATTCCGTATCGAGCCGTAAAAGCGGTGTGCAAGAGGTAGCGACCCTGCTTTCGACGGAGAAATTAGGGAGCGTGCCGCGGCGCCCAGTACGAAAAGAAACATTTACATAAACGTAGGCATTATTATTATTATCGTTTAGCTTCTGGGATGTATATGTTAAGATCGATGAATATTTATGAATGTTAATATACAGATATTATAAGCGGTATCAGCCTGAAAAGGGAAATGAATTATGGCATCATAATTTATTTTACTCAAATTATGAATTAAGCATAGGAGAAAGTGGGATTTAATATAAAAATTCAATATAGAAAAATGAAGAGAAAAAAAAAGGAATTGTAAATTTACTACAGGCGTGGTGTATTTTATATGCTGCATTTTATAAATTGAAATAATAAGTGCCACTGTGGGAAGAAAGGTTTACCTTGCTGCAGCATCAATATTGTCTGCCTCCTCGCCGTAACTGCCATAAATTGATTGAGTTACGTTACGTTAAACTATATTTCGCGATACGGGAAAATAATCGAGGACGCATCGTGAGATAGGAACAAGACTTACCGTGTCGCAACGTCGACATTGTCTTCCGGCACGCGTCCGTAACTGGCATAGATTGGCGCCGTAAAGTCAGCCTCCTTCGTGTTGCGTTCCGGTGTTTTTTGATCGAAAGCGAAAAGATGCACGGCATCGATGTTGGGCGCCAACAACCTGGCGTCGTAGTAAACTGTCAAAGAAAAATAATTACGTTCAATTATGTTTAAAGCATATAATTTACAGTTACGGATATTGCAGTGTATCATAATAATATATAATATCACGATTATAAACAATTATAAACATTATTGTTAATATATGTTATTAATTTTGTTATCAATTATTGCCCACGTAGGATACTAACTGCTAGAGTTAACGTGAGGCAACACCGTGATGGTCAGGGCCTTGAATCTCGGTCGAAGCTGCGACTTGAGGTCGCGGACCAGGATCGTGAAGCCGTCGCGATGCTCCTGCTCCTTCTCGTCCTTGAATTTCCCGTAGCCGAGTTTTTTCTTGAGTCCATGCCAGAAGGAACCGAGAGTGCTGCGCTGTTTCTTGGGCTTGACCGGCGGGAACTGCCACGCAAGGTCGATTCCGTCGAAGTCGTAGTCGTTCAGCAGCCGGTTCACGGAATTGATGAACCTCGTTCTACCTTCCGAAGTCTCGGTCTATCGATCCCAAGTATTTCGTTTTATTTAATTTCTCATTTTATCGCTTGCTGATTATTGCGCTCTTATTTCGTATTTTTAAATGGAATCTTTCGATCACTCGGATTGGATTTAAAAAGTTTTGCTTTAACGCTGTTTAATATATTTATATTTAAATATTGGAGATTTTCACGGGAAACAATAAGATTGATAACACCGATAACGGGCTCACCAGCACGAGGTACTTGTGCTCCTCGTCGTAAGGATCGGAGTTCCCTCCGACGCTCAGGTAGACCTTCAGATCGGGAAACGATCGCTTCAGCTGCGTGGCGAGTCTGTAATAGGAGTAGCCCGATCCGGTATCTAAACTCGGCGAGCCGGGAACAATCTCGAAGTCGGAATTGATGTGAGCGTATCCGTAGATCAGGTGGGTGCAGAGAGATAAGGCATTTCTGACGTCCTCAAGTTGAAATTTTGCTGGACCTTCGAAGACAAGAAAGTTATTTGCAAATATATAAAGTATATCAATAAGTAATTATATTATAATATTATATTATATTATAATAAGCAATAATAAGACGACAATCGATTTGAATAATAAATTGAGAGCTAGAAAACGGGAAGAATCTAAAATCACATTTATAATTTGTGATATTGACTTCCAATTATGAATTGCTATGTGAAATGTCTGTGTTAGATTTACACTTCTGTTAGCGATGTTTGACTTTAACGTCTATCGCAGCACAAACACAAGTGCCGACAAACTCTCTAATAAATACAAACCAGAGAAGGTTCGACATGAAGCATACGTTTCAGATATCTTACAAACACAATTAATAAGATAGGAAATCTTACATAACCGAAATTATTGAAGAAAAATTTTAATATATTTCTCTCATAGTTATTTTAATTTTTAAAACTTATATATAAAATAATAATGATAATATTTTAACGATGATATATTTCATATTAACTACAATAAATTAATCGAACTCGAATAAACAAAAATTATATTTAATGTTTGTTATTGTCATCTAAAATCTGAAAAAGACAAATAAGACTATACCTTCCCGCAAACGATTTACTTGTGCAATTCGGTAATACAGTTATTTTTAGTTATGCCGTCTAAAGGAGTACAACGCATATTTTAATTTTTATTATTCTTGCGTAGTAAAATTAGCAAAACGTTATATTAATTTTTTATATAAATAGATTTCACACGCTTGATAGCTTCTAATTCTCGAGAAGCAATTCTTATAAGGAAATCATTTCCTTTAATTCCACAAATTCATGAATATTCCTCTAGAGTTTATGCGTCACAAGAATATGAGTAATGAGTATAACTAGCAAACGGCCTCACCTTGCCTCTCATAAGCGGTACTATTCCAATAACAGACCACTTTGTTGTGCTCGTTTGGATCTACGCCGAACACCGCCTGGATGCACAGCACCGCGAAAACGGCCGAGAGTAACGTTTTCATCTTCACTGGAATTATAACGCGTTTGTAATTAATCCAATCGATCGAACGAATATTGAATTGACGTCGCTTTGCATCGACCTGATTATTAGTAGCCAGCTAATGCGATAACATTTCACCCGTGTAATATTTTTCCGACAGCGAACCAAAATACATGTTTTATATCATCCAAAGTACTATTATACGCGGCATTTTAAGCATCAATACGGTTAATATTGAAAGATTTTTCATTCTATTTAATATAAAATAAAATACTTCGCTTTAAGTATTTTATTTTATCTCAATTTATTATTCTTTGTATTTTAATCTTTAATATGTTACAATTGTAATAATTATTTCGTTACATTTTATACTTTTATTTAATATCAGATCGTGTTTTTGAAAATGTTTGATGCTTTCTATTTGTTATATGATTATTCCAAGTATTTTCTACTCGCGTCTTACCTTCAGTAACGAAAGGAGCGTACTGGCGCGCGCTTGCTCCTCGTCAGGGACTTTGAAACCTCGATCCGATCTTCGGTTCGAGTAGTGGGGCCTAGGCGATATTACGTCAGTCCCGTGATCATTCGTAAGCGAGTTTCGTCGCTGTACTAATACATATATGTATGTATATACAAGGTGGTCCACGTGCAGTGTTCCCCGGGAAATAAAGGATATAGCGACGTGTCCATGTTCAGAATCATTTTTAGAATTTCGATACAATTGACAGAATTCTAGTGAATTCCAGAATTTTAGTGTTCCTCTAAAACAATTTGATGTTTCTAATCGAAAGTAGTTCTGGCAGTCGATATAGTAAGCCGATAGGAGCAAAAATGAAGAAGCTGTAACGTTTCTTTTACTTCTCGGAAAATTCCCCAAACTCCCACCGTCGCTAATGTTTTTCGAGAGTCTGCCTTTCACCTTGACCGATCACCTTGTACACTGTAATATGCTGTATATCTTCAGCGATGAGGTGTGCGTTGTGAGATTTCGCCAGATGTACGAAACTCACGCACACCAAAGCCTCCAAGGTCTCGAGGGTTGCGAAAAGTGTCGCCGGAGAGAGAGAGAGAGAGAGAGAGAGAGAGAGAGAGAGAGAGAGAGAGACGAGCCGACGAGCGAACAAGACCGAAGCTATCGCAATAATCGTATTAGTAATTATCGCGTATTTCTCGTAAGTCAAACGATAACCAGGAAATTAGTTCAAGATTTATCAACGTATTTATCAACTGTTTCAGCGAACGTGACATTCGGTGTTCTTCACTTTTCTTGCATTCCTCTTCGTAAAACTTACTCGTGGAATTCATGAATAAATGCATTAAAATTTTTCCTTCCGATATATTTAACGAAAAGAGAGCAACGCGTGACAGATATCTGCGATACACCCTGTATATATCTTTGCCCTCCGAGAAGTACTGAATTTTCAGGGCGAGGAGGCTTCATCCCTGTAGACTTTGACGGATCGATCGTTGAAGCATACATAAATGATCTGCCGGTGGTTTCCCGATTTCATTCCGAGACACCTCGTGCATAAAACTCGCACGTTTACATCGACGAGGGTCCTCTGATTTGCAAATGATGTTAGCGCGCCGCTGGACGATGCGACTCAGTTAAAGCGAAACCTTCGCGGTCAGCTAAAATCGCAGATTCGAAATATACATATTCTGCAATCGTTTCCTTGCGGAAAGTGAATCAGAGTATTGATAAAGAGTATTGATGGAAATTTATTCGACGAAGTTACATGAATTTCTAATTTTTCCTTTCAATCAAGAAATGACGTTAACAACATCTTCTACAGTTAATAATATAATTATATTTCATTATATTTTATTGTACATTATATCACTTAAATTTGGATTTAACGTAATGTTAATAATTATATTTCTCATCAGTTACACTCCTGTCGCATTTCTCCTTGTCACGATCGTATCTGCGGTCCATTATAGTTTTATAGCTCATGTTTTATATCTTGTTTATGCGAATCTAAATTTTTTAGGCACCTATTCGTGATGTCGCGAAATAAATTCTCGTCGACTCCTTTTAATTCGCCTATTTTTTTTTACACGAAAGTGACTCAGCGCGGTCATGCAACCTTGCGCGAAGGTCGCTCGTACGTGAGCACTTCTAATCTGTAAGAAGACTCATAAGAGGATAATTGGAGACGACCACTTAGTGCATTCACGCTGACGTGAGCATTTGGTTTAAGCACTACAACGTGACTACCTGTAACGTAGTCTCCAAAACGTAGTAGTGTTGATTGCTACTCGTGGCGAATCTAATCGAAATAATCCTCCGCGATCGAAAGTCTCCGCGCGCGCGTGCGATGTATCCTTAATACATTTTAATCCTTTATTCAATTCTTCCATAAATAATGTATTCCAATTTGACATTGAATGATTCTTTTAGTTTGATCTGAAAAAATATCAAATATTTAAGATATAAATTTAAGATATAATATTAGATATAAAAAATATCTCTTCTTTTCCTTATGATAGAATATTCCAAGTGAGAAAAAAAAGTTTTAATTTGTTTTTTTAATTTAGTTTATTTGAAATCAAATTTGTTGTATTATACATTCGATAATTATTTATTGTGACATTTATTGTAATTTTTTATTTCTTTTTCGTAAATTCGTATTTATTGAAAACTAGATATTTTTCTGGAAGGTGGTCATCCCTCGTTAAAACGTACATAGATTAATGTTTCAATTAAGTCAATCACGAAATAATTGAAACGTTCGTGCAAACTTTTCTTAGGTATTCATTGGATTCGTTGGGCACGGTAGCACGGTAACGCTAGGCGAGAGCGAATTACTGCAGAACAGTTGATAACCAGGGGAAATTATCGAGTTAAAAAAGATTAAAACGACTATCAGTGCACGCACGAATCTAGAGTGTGTTTGCGTACTCGATTCCGCTGTGAGAAGCCTGGTCTGAACCACGGTTCACCGAGAATAAGGTCCGCGACGATAACTCGGGCAAAAGGTTACTAAATAAATAAACCATTTCTCTTATATTCCGGGCGAGAAGCGTGAAAGTTAGATATGTGTTAAAAGCACTTTCAATACATAAACATTAAATTTTTCTAGATGTTTATATGAATATATATGGATTAATGGATACGAGAAGCGCGATGATGAAAAATGTAGCGAAAGAATATTTTCGCATTACTTAATGTTGCATTATTTAATATTGCATAATAAGCGAAAAGAATGAAGAACAGAATGTTTATTTGCGTTTACTTATAAATTGCAGACATCGTCCTGTAACTTCACCAAATAATAGAAAAGATGTCACGAACTGTTTTAAAAAATATGGAATAAATTTCCAAAAGAAATGAAAAAAATTTAACAGAAAAATCTAGATAAGAAATTAGATGGTATACTCGTTAAAAATATTGATTAGAATATATCTAAAATTAAAACTGACTTTAAATGGATCAAAATCGTCGTTGGTATTATCGCTGTTAGATTACAAGAAGTAAAATGTAAAATAATGTATTTTGTACAAAATACATTGAAAGTAATAATATTGCAAACTTTCGAATTCATATTTCCGAAATTTTCCACTAAAAGGTGCACATCTCTGACAGATTTAATCGTATTTTTACGGAGATTATTCCAATTGCATCTGTTTTCCACAAAAGAAAAATATTATACATGTTGATACATAGATAAATTGATTCTGCGAACCGATAAAGTATAAGATATTCGTATATTAGTGTCGGTTATGTAATACGTGTGCGAATCATAATGCAGTAAACAACATTTAGTATGACACATTTGCGCTATGTTCCAGAAAAGATGTACATTAAATTATTCCTTAAATGATAAAAAGTTGTATAACGAGATTTTATTTTTGTACAAGATATTCCACTCCTCGCGTATTATTCTTCATTGTTCTTTCGTCAATCTGAAATCGATTTTTCCGATTTAGCGAAAGCGTCGGGAAAGATTTATCGAGACCATTCATAGCTCTGCTCTCTTTAATTTTTAATACTGTATATCTTTGTGATTAAATTAAAATTAAATTATTAAATTGAACTTCTTTTATAAACAACAGAAGAATATCTTGTTATTCTCATTTAGATTCTCTAAAGTTTAATTCATGAAAAAAATTCAAATTAATTTAAAAATTCATTAAATTTAAAAAGGTAATGCGCAAGGAGACACATTCTGTGTATTTACATTTCTACATGTATCTATATTTATTAATTTCCAAAATTATCATTTTGATTCACGCATCTTTTACAAAGTATTTTCGAAAGAGGATCCTTTAAAAAGCGTCTTTAGTCAATAAAATGGCAATTTCATCGTCAAACGACGAAATAAATAATGTTTATTCGATCAGGCAGTAAATATCTTCTCGTTTCTAATCGAAAGGCAGTTCGATTCGGACCATGAACAAATAAACGCGCACGTTCCGTCGACATCAAAAATGTATGTGACTATGTTTAAACCATTAATAATTCAATCTTGAGTTATTGATTCCGCTGATAACCTATTATATTACCATATAGCTCGCGAATCTCAATTTACTTCTAAAAGCAGTAGATTTGCCGAGAATCTATCGATTTGAGCCGGAAAGTTCCCCTAAAAAGACAGAAAAAAAAAAAACCAATGGAAAAGTCTGTCGTTTCAGTCGTTTTTATTACGAAAAGAACGTATGTACATTTATCGTCTCTCTCTCTGTATATGTATATATAACTAAAAATCTAGAACTATAACACAACATTATGTGCTGCGCTCGTCGTAAACTGTTTAACTAATAATTAAAAATTCTTTCGCAGTTAAGTGTTCAACTTAACTTGATCAATTAAGTCTTAATTCCTCGGGTTTTCGGCAAGGACAGATTAAATAAGATCTTGTAAATATTCTTCTATCGATCGCTTTTTTTTCACTATTGCACAATTTTTGTAAATGTTAACTTGACAATATGTCGATTTATCAATATGTAAACGTATATATGTATATATTGTGTATATATGTACACATATATCGTATATACATATACATATACATATTGATATCTATCTTTATATATCAATTCGACGATATGTCTATTTTTTAATTTCGCTAAAAATAGACGCGCGTAATCTGCGATCGTTAGCGACAATGGACAATCGGTAAAAGGAAAAACAAGATTAAAACGATTTAACTTAATGTAAACTGTCTTAACGAAGTTAATGAAATTATTTTCAATTGTCGAGTGTACCATTGTCGCCGGTGCATTGATAAATAATTAACGGTTCAAACGATTCAGATTGCAACAGTAGGAATTATCTAAATCTTCTTGCACTTATTTTACATTTATTCCAGTAACAAAACGGCTGACATTACCACATATGAATTACATTAGAGTTTCCATATGTAACTCATATGTGGATTAATGTGATTAACATTACAAGATGTAATTCAATTAGTTCCCATAATTCATGATAAAACATTTTTATCATTGTAACGTGAATTAATTTTAATAAATTAATGAATACTGAATTCCGAGGTATTTTCGTGTTGCGTGCGTCACTAAGTTAATTCTGCCAGTGCAATCTAAATCCAACTTAACGCGTTTGTAACGAAGTCACGGGTGTCTCGTAAGAAGTAATAAGTCGCGATTAAGTCACTCGACTCGTGCGGCAGATCTTAATCTAGAAAAATACAGTCTATCTTTATTTTTTTTCCTTCTTCGAAAGCATGCGGTTACATATATATAAGTTCGTTCCGAACCTTCTGAAATTACTGGGAACCGCCTAAGTCTTCGCCGAACGTCCAGACGCGCTTGACGATTATTTGTACCGTGTATATACTATCATGTATCGATATATCTAGCTAAAATCTTGTACAAGAGCTTTCGTACGAAAGATGAAGATGGATTGAATCGCCTCGCTAAGCAGCTCCCTGCGTCGCGAGGCGTCGACACACATCGAATGATTCGATATAAGATTATAATACACAATAAGTATTCGTCGGCTTGATGAAACCCAAACGATCGTGAATGTCGGCCAGGTCAGGTCAGATCGGGTCAGGTCGTTTGACTATTTTTCAGCCGACTTCCTCTTGGTATCATCCGCTGGTCGCTGCCGGCCGCCCCGGTCGCGTTAAAAAACATTTGAGACGGCGGCGCTGATTTTATTCCCGCTTTCCTTGCTTCAAATTATGCGGATATTCAAACATGTCGCCCTCGTCTGAAATTCAGATGCGAGAATAATTTTGCGATCGCGACATCAATTGCGCGGTCGGGATCGTTGTCAAGTTACCTTCCCCCTCGTCCTCGCCCTCCGCCAGATGAATATCGTTCTTCTGCTCCTTGTCGTAATCGCCACCGTCGTACTGATCGTCACCGCCGTTAGCTTGCCCGTCGTCCAATCTAAAATCAACCAGCATATATAAAATTCATTAAAACTGAACCCTCTTAGAAAAATTTTAATAAATGGAAAACTCTATTTGTACAATGAAGTTATTATAATCTAAATATTTTTTGCGCACACTTGATAACAGTCACGCCATTTATTTAAAATATATAGCGGGACTCACCCAGGAACTCGATTGAGCTCTTCGCCGACCTCCTGCACGCCGGGTCCCACCCTCATCCAGGTGTCTTTCACTCGCCTCTCGATCTGCTCGCCAACGTGTCGCGCGGGAGGATTCGCCACGAACGGCGGGTCCAGATTGCCGGCTTCGACCACCGGCTCCTTCTCCTCCCTGTCGTCGGCCGGGGCGAGCTTCGGCGGCGGTGGCTGCAGGTTGTGAACCGCCGCCGCGTCCTCCCGCTTTCGACTCTCCTCCTGGCGCTTCTCCTCGTCCGCGTCGTCGACGATCTGCTGCTCGATGATTTCCGGTATCGGCAATACGCCGACCGGCACCTTGACCTTCGACAGCGGTCTGGCCGGCAGCGGCGCGGGCTTGTCGACGAGGGACGGCGACACCAGATTGACGTTGCTCGCCACGGTGGTGTTCGTCGCTTTTCGTGAACTCGCCACGCTCTGAAAATAGTTTTTCACGAAATTACAGAATATAATCGTACAACACAGTCGTACATTCGGCGATCGCAGACGGGAATTGCTTGATGTTGTGACGTCTTACTTATTCAATTCTCGTAATTACATAACAATATTACCGGTAGAACCGGTTACGGCGACAATTGTCATTTCTCGAAATACGCTAACAAGGAACTGCGTACATTTTTCATATTTCTTTTCGTTGTAAGTCCGGCGCAATTCATTCTAGCATTATGCGTCGACAAATCATTGACAATCTTAATAACTTCTTTATAGCGTAGTTATGTAAAGACAGTGCTTTTTTTTTGCATCAAATAAATAATTTATCTAATAATTATAAATTGCAAAGAAAGCTGTAAGTGCAATGCACAAATGCAGAAATTCTATGCATCGAGAGAACTTCAGTTGGAAATGATATTAATTAGCATAAGAGAAGAAGAAGAGCTATACTATAAATACTAAAAAATAAAAAAAAATACAAGCTTTTCTTATAGTTCCGACAAATTCTCAGGCATTTATTTGGCGCGACTAAAGGAAACAGCCTCGAAAAACAAATTAAACGGAGATACACTGAAAGCGCGATGCAGAAGCTGAGAGTAACTAGGTTGTTACGAGGTTGCCAATAAAAATGCAAGCGGATAAACGTAATAACAATTTATTAATGTATCGTGTAACACAGATTTACAGGCACATTCAGTACGGCTTGCGAGCCATTTTACACATACACATGAATAGTCTCTTATTTTCAGTAACATAAGCGAGCTCGGAAGATGAAAAATCGATCGAAAATATTATATATATTGTATATACATACACGAATAAAATTTGTATTTTTGGAACACCTAACATTAACGTGTCCAAGAACATTTGGATAACGATAAAAATATCTATATAACAAAGTGCAAACAGTACAATAATTGAAAAAGATATCTAAGGATAACTGTAAGATTACGATACTTTTGAGCATTTTTTTAAAGATTCTTTAATGAAGTATTTAATAAAAATATTAATTAGTCATAAATCTAACATTTGCTATTAGAGAATTTTCGTGATTCAAAATTTAATCGGTATATGTATAAATGTTAACAGCTTCCGCATTGATATTAATAAAATAATATTTTATAAAAAAATATATGGTACATGTTAAATAGTAAACGGTAGGAACAAACTGCTGTTGTAATAAATAAACGTTGTAATAATAACGTAGATAAAATCATTTGCGACTAAAAGAATTTCTTAAAACCGTCGAAAAGATTGCATGTGTTAACACAGTACATCAAATGTATTTTCCAGAAATCACGGAATAGTAATCAAGCAAAGCAATTCAGAATGTTTTTTCATTTGTTTATTACTTATGGTTAGAATTATTCTTCTCGTGTTGCATTGCAATTTACAAAAGAAGATTTAGACTTATTATTCTATTAATCATAAGTAACAAACATTTTCAAAAATAATAATAATAAGATTCAAATAACAAATAATTTTGCTTCATTACATGCATATTAGATTATGCGCGATTTTGGCTACATGTCATTTATTTGTCAAGCTAAGTACAAATTCTGCGTGTGACACAAGACAATAGAGAGAGAGAGAGAGAGAGAGAGATATAACAATAAAAAAATTATTTCGAAAAAGTACAAAAGAGAAAGTAGAAAAACTTAACTATTCTAATTCTACATTATTGATAGCACTATTATTTGCCCCAAAGCATAATAGAAAACGGTTAGAAAGAAAGCAATTAGCCCTAAAATATATTTACCAATGTTTTGTTGTATATAAGAAATCCTCTTATAGAGAATAAAAAGATAGTGACTTTGATTTAAACAACCAATTAGATCTTTTCTATTAATCCGTGAATAATCGCGTAAAAAACTTTTCTGCTGAATAATTAATGAATCATTCGCCACTAATTAATTATTAACGATCAAATGCATAATTGTGGCTTATTTTATTAATTAAATAATTATTATTATTAACAATTCATACATCATTTATTAATAGAGACAGTTTCAATATATATAATTGTCGCGCAATAAAAAATTAACTTTTTACGCAACTCACGGATTAAGACACATGAAATCTGACTCGAACTGCACGACAAGCACGAAAGTAATCCAATGCGGGAATGCGTGACACCGAGTTAAATGCAAAGTCTAACGAATTCCGCTATGGGGCACGTCACGATTGAGGATTCCATCTACTCTCTCCTGCAGAGCCTGCAGCTCGTCATCCTCCGCACGGGCTTTGACACCGGTCGATCGACTAGACGCGGCCGTGGACGCTCGCTCGACAGCAGGTTGCGCCAACGGTTGCTCGGCTTGCGAACCAGGCGCCGCCGAAGCGTTATCGTTCCTCGGACCGTCGTCGTCGCGATTCAGCGGCGGCGACATTACCTGTTTCCTCTGTTCTTCGTCGAAGCCGCTCTTCTCCTCGTCTACAACGTTCGGCCGCTCGACAACGTCTTTCAGCTGCTTTTGCTCTAAGCTGTTAGCCGAGGGTTCGCGCTGCTGCTGCTGCTGCTCGCCGATCTCTTTCACTTCGCTGGGACCAGCTGGAACGATGTTGCCATTCTGCTGAACGAACCTAATATCGTTGGCTGGCTCGTTGGCGTCGTCGTTTAACGTCTTTTCCACCGACGGAGTCGCTCCTCCGACTGCGCGACCGTCATGAGACACGTACGGCGGCCGCGGCGCACTTACCTGCTGTGGCTGTTGCTGCTGCGGCGCCGGGATCGGCTGCGAGTCCTCCTTCTGCAGCGCCGATTGCGACACCGACGCACGAGGAGTCACCAGAACTGAACTAGGAGGTGTACTTCTAGCATAGAATTTCTGGAATGCATAAGAAAAATCACTTTTATGCGTTTTCGTAACTATCCTGATTTTTCTCAATAATCTTAAACGTTTAAAGGAAAAGATCAGTACTGGCTTGGGAAACAATATTTAATCGTCTTCTATAAAATGCAAATATTAATTGTGCTACGTATAAAATATAATTATTAAACGTCTTATCTTGAAGCTATGTCGTATCTGTTTATATTGCGCACTATAATTGGCTAATATTAAATTATAACTAATATTAAATCATGTTGCTTTTAGGAGACGAGTGATGTTACCTTGGCGCTCTCCAATTCGCGTCTGAGCTGGAAGATCTCCTTTTTGAGATGATCGACGGTACTACCGGTATTGTCCCTATTTTTCACCAGTTCGTTGTACTTATCCTGCAGCCTGGTCTTCTCGTCGTCTATTTCCAGGTACTTGGTCTTCAAGTGCTCGAGAGCCTTGAACTTGTCCTCCTGAGCCTGCCGGATGCGGGCGCGCAAGTCCTGCAGCGTCGTTTCCAGCCTGCTCGTCTCGTCCAGCGCCTGCTTCTCGCGCTTCTTACACTCCTCCTGCAAATCCTGATGCTCCGTCTGCAGAAGCTTGTAGGTCTGCTGAAGCGAATTGAACCTCTGCATCGCCTCTACGCTGTCCTTGTCGCGCAGGGACTTCTCCCGCGACGCGCGCTGCTGCAGCTCTTGCTTCACCGCGGCGTTCGAGCTCTTCTCCTCGGCCAGGGACTTCTCCAGCCGTACTTTGTACTCAAAGATTACTGGAAAGATATAATATCGTATAATACAATATCGATGATCGTGAAGTTGAACAGCTAAATCGGAGGGATTTAATTAATCTATAATCCGCAATTTTGACGAATTTATAAAAATAGAGTATACAAATTCATGATTCGAGATGTCCTGAAAAATGTTACAATCCTATCGTAAAATCTACGCATTAATATCTTACTTTCTGCAACAAATACTTCACTCTCTGGAATATGAGTGGCTTAACACTAGAACCGTGGCTGTGCCATTTTTTACCTATCTGATAGTTTTTTTTTTCCACTGTCGTTGACTACAGCTATGCGTAAGCTGAATTAGTATTAATAAAAGTGTAGTATTTTGTTACCACTTTGTCCACCTATCAAAAAATCATAAAAAAATAATATAGATCATAAATAATCCATTCACGGTTTTAGGGGAGGTAAATCGCCACGGTGCTAGTGTTAAAGTCTCGGGTGCACTGAGAAAAAAAGGTTGTTAGAATAACTAAATGCGTTTTGTTGACAGTTTGTCTTTGATTCAATTATATATGTTTTTGAATTAAACCTACATCATTAACATATTTTTGTGAATTAACAAATGTTTGCTTGACAATCCGTGACCGCCGCATTTAGTTGAATGAAATAATTTTTTTTTTTAATCAATTCTTTTTTTCTCAGCGTATCTACCATGTCATTATCTCTTCATAGTTTAAATACTTGAAGTGAAATATTAAATCGACAATCGTCGATTTCTCGTCCCTGACAGGCATTTATTCATTTCTCCCCGAACTTACCTTGTAGTTGAGCAGCGAGAGATTCTTGTTGATGAAGGCATTGCACTTGCATCTCTTGAAGCCTGGTCATCTCCGAGATGGTGTTGCGGTACACGATCATCGTCAAGATAACTGCCACTGCGCAGCCCCCGTACAAAGCCAGGCGGCCACCTCGGCCTCTGCCAAGCCGCGAACCGCTCATCACTGTCGACACAGGAAAAAGAGTACATTCATTATAATATTATCTGTTATGAAAACAATCGAGGTTGCTGCATTGATAAGCGGAATCATATCAGTGCAAGCTGAATTACAGAATGTCGCGTGTATATCTTGGCGTCATATAAATATAACGTAACAATACAAATACTTCCTTCGCGCTTATCCATTAAAACGTAGTGCACAACAATTTTAAAATATGCAATCAAATTCCGTCGAACGTATCCTATTATTGTTGGAATTACACTGATGACTGAGATTATAGAAACGTTAGTATGAATCAATCTAAATTGCTAATTTCTAGCTTCTAGTATATAAGTTCGATATGTCATCGGAATAATAAAAGCTTCTATATAAGTTCGATATGTCATCGGAACAGTTAATCGAACGATTAATGAAAATTTGTCAATATTCAACACAAAAATATAGGACATTATCGAAGTAACTGTCAACGAAACAAACAAAATATCGAATGCAATATAGAGAGAGTGCATGCCTGTCACTTGAATGTAATTAAAGTTATATTTAATTATTATTCAGCATTCAATTATAATTGTTTGCGTTCTATAATTCTATTAGAGAAATATCAAATAGTGTTTACACACTTGACAACTTGAAATACCACAAATATAAAGTTCAGTTTTAAAAATATGTCGCCCTATAATGAAATATACATTAAAAGCGACGGCGAGCGTAATTAAAAAGGAAGCAAAAGTAAATAAATTCGCGGAGCAAGAAGAGGGAAAGTAATTACTGCGTAACGTCTATGTCTTGCTTCAATCTCTTCAGGGACGACGTGTATAAGTCCTCTTTATTTTATTAAAAATTATATACATTCAGTCCTTTTAAACTAAAATAAAATAAGCAAAATATCATCTTGTTCGAATATTTATATATATAACACAAAATTTATTACAATTTCATTACTATTATTAAATATTACTATGGGATTTTTAAAGATTAAATATTACAATGAGATGCCATTTTAAAAGATTATAGATGTAGTAAACAAATGAAATTAAATTGTTCTTCAATCTGAAGAAAGTTTCTCCCTGAAGAGATTGTCGCATTATAATCAATTACTATCTGCGCGAACATTACTTGCCGTTCTAATCCATGTATAGATATCTACTAAGCAGAATATAACAAGGAGATAATAAAGAAGGTAGATAAAATGAGGGAGGAGCGATAGAAAAAGGAACGAAGGGAGTATCAGGGTCAGGATTCAGATACCCGGTATTATTAGTGTAATTTACGAAACAGTCTCGTTGACCTCGTTGGTCCGATGAATCGTTTAGCTTTCACTTTCGTTCCTTTTCGTCCGTATCGTCCTACTGCGGTTCAGCCTCGGGAAAACGAAGGGACATCGCCGCTTAAAATTTTTTTTCTCTATCTCGGTTTGTAGTCGGATTTCTAGGTAGAAACTCGCAGAACCTATAGCCACGCGCTATTTAATTCATTCTTCTTGCATACGTGCGGTTGCGTTTTATTAAAAGAAGGGAAAAAGATTGAAGTCAACTGGCAAATATCCCCGCGGCGAATCAGAGATTGACTTTAAAACAATTAAAATCCGTCCGTGTTTCTATTAAAGATTATAAAAAAAATTCTCATTTAGCATTTAATTATAATTGATATGTGGTGATTACGGCATAAGAGCTACATGTCTGCTTTCTATGCCAAAAATCCAAATTCATCTAGAACAATATCAGATTGTTAATCGATCACCATCTCTCAGAGAAGGCAACGGAAAATTACTGAAAGTATCTCTGCCAGATCACTTTCAAAACCTCCTCTAGCCGACCGGAACTGCAGATGTTAAAGCTGTTAGTCCCATATATCTGCGGATACATATATAGAAGAGGTCACCACGTCTCTGACAAGAGGTTACGGATTAGAGAGAAGGATAATAATGCTGAAAGTTTTAAAAATCCACCCTAGATTTCTCAATTAAGGAGTTTCGCTAAAAGGAGATTCTCCTTTCTCCGAGGTTTTTTTTTTGCAAAATCTCTCCGATTTACACAACAATACACACCAATGATAATCGCTGTTCATAATTAAAAACTACGGTTGATTATAATAAATTTGCAAGCGAGGTAAAATGTAATGTCAATTTGAAAGATCATCTTACATAAATATTTGGACATCGTCCATCGCTTATTCCGAGGATTAGGATCCTTTCCTGGATACAGTGATCCCTTCCAATTTTCCACCTTCGCACCGGCGCCTTCGCGCTCTTTTTCTCGACCCAGGCGTATTAATGAGTTTTCACCAAGCGGAGCGGGAGATCGCGGGGAGGCGAAGCGGAGAGAGAGAGAGAGAGAGAGACGGCGGGTTAGCTACTTAGCAGCTGGATTCGAGTTCACTGACATTTCGGAGCACGCGCGATACGAGTCCTGTTTTGTGTTCGCAAACACGACGGTAAACGGCAACAACAGCATCGTCGACGACAACGACGAGAACGACGACGAGGAAGGCAACAACGAACAAGAAGAAGACGAAGAAGGGAACGCACGCCGACGAAAAAGAGACGACGACGAGGAAGAGACGACGACGGTAGAGAACGACGATGAGGAGCACGTGTACCGTTCGCGCGGAAACGTGACGCTCGCTCGCAAGCGGATTCGGTTGGCTCGTATCTGGCATTCCGCCACGCCGGGTGCGGAAGCATCGATATATATATATATATATATATATATAATCAGGATAATCTGGCAGGAAACACCGAGTCATTTAAGATAATTTTCAGAGTCTAGTTTCCGACTCGGGAACGCGTCACATGTGTCAGCAGATTGGATTTGAAACATTTACCGCGTGATGCACACGGAACGGCGCCTTGACGTCCGACTTGACAATTAACGGGCAGCAGGATCCGCGTAACTGTTTATTAATCAGTGAACTAAATGCATATAGATTACGCTAAAATACGTAGCTAACAGCTGCGAAAACATCGTGGTACTGCAAGCGTCGCGAAAACGAACACTGCGCACGTTCTCTGCATATCTACATAATGAATTGTTGACGTTATTGCCATTGTTGACATTGTAATGCTAGACCGAATGCAGCATTGAGAAATTACCGTCCTATGGCGCGACCAAACACCTATATATATTACAGCCGACGTTGATTGTGATGCAGACAAGATCCGCGACGTTGAAATTAAGATCTTCATCTAATTCGACAATTAATGAAAATCGCGCGTACGTGCGCGGCTTAAAATTAATTTGCAAAATTGCCCGGCGAGATATTCGCACTTTTCTTTCAAATCACGTCACGTATAGCAATGGATAAAATAATATGTAAGTAAGAGTGCGATATTCTTTGTCTCTCCGAAGAAAAAAAAAAGAAAACGTCTCTCCTCGGCGCGGCGTGACAAAATCGTTTATTCATCGACTGTTGCGGCACTTCAGAAGACACTTTGATAGTCGCCGTACAGTCATTTGTCAACCGACAGGGACTGTTTTCTCTCCACATCGCGCATATACGCTTTTGACCCCACGTCTATATGTTGTTTATCTCCTTCGGTAACTTCCTGAGGAATAACACTTTTTACCTATGTAATTAGGAATCGCCTTGTACGGAATTATTACTCTATAGATTAAATATATTTGCATCGCACATACCGCGTACGTAATTTTTCACGCTTTTTCTTCCTTTCGCCCGGAGCACCTTCGCGAGCTTGTTTTGTCTCCAGCGTACAAAAGCGAAAAGGTGGCACACAAGAATTTATAACTAACTGTGCTGATAACGTACGAGATGTATATTATTTTCTCGATATGTAATATGAATTTATCTCGAATTTAGCGTCAAGCCATTCCGTAAGTCCCTGATCCACGGGATATCGGAATGGATTTAATGCGGTTTCGTAACAAGAGTATCGGCGCGCGGGCAACTAAAAATAAACCTATTCCGAGAATACGCGAGGGCAGGAGAGAAATTTAATTTGAGTCTCCCGATCTCGCACTTGATAAAACGCGGATATAACTCGAGATTAGCCCGGAGTTTATCTCTAGATTAACTCTTCCTCACGACAGCGCACTCTTTCTCTCTTCCTCCCGCCGAAGTAGTTATAGCCCAGAATCTTTATCTAAAAAAGGAAACTTTCCCCCTACCCCCCCCCACCGCTCGGATAAGGATTTTTTTTAATATTCGAGAGATCCTGTTCGAGGATCACAGCGTCAACAGGTTGCCGGTTTAAATGCATTTCGTGGCAACTTAAATTCGATTAATTACTTTTTTATTTAATTACTCCACCTATCCCAATGATGGTAATTCAATGAGACCAATTGATATCGCATCAGAGGTAAATTAATTGCATTTTTCATTATTTATCGTCGACCTGTTTGTCATGACCTCGGTGCTGCTTTCGCGTATACCAGGCACACGTGAAACTGTGCATTCAATTGCGATTTTCGCAGCGTGAATTGAGCGCGACGTGCTGCAGCAGATTTGTCCGATATTGTAGATCCCGTTCGGGCGCGTGTTGTTGCACGTGTCGCCGAAATCAGATCGATTCGTCGGATCGAGCCTGGAGATGAGCCTGCCACATCCCCGGATTAATTAGCGCGCGACCATTAGCGCGAGGCGACGCGACACGTAGACAACGCGGCCGCGTTGCCTTCCAGTCCAGTCGATCCGCCCCGGGGCCGGCAGACCGGCAATCTGGATGCGAGAATATCCCTACGGCGACTCTCGCGGGAGAGGCGCCCGTTCCGCGTACCGTACACGTGGAATCGCGCGGAGTGACGTTTCATCCGCAAGGAGGATTCCCGTCGCCGTCCGGAACTCCGGCGACGCGTTAGACTCGCATATCGTTAATCGCGCGTTAAATTGTCATTTATTGCGCGAATCGCGAGATACGCGAATGCTCTGTGCTCTCGATCGTTGCGAACGTTGCGTGCTTGTCAATCCTTTACCCAAGTGGATTTTTTGGCTTGCAAGAAAGAACTACACAATCGGTAGATGAAAATTAAAATCTGATTAAAATCATCGAGACTTTTAGAAAATATATAAATATATTTGTATAAAAATATGTTTGTAAAAAAAAATACAGATATACAAGTTTTAGATATAGGTTAATAAACTTCTAAATATATTAATTAGAATTTTAGCTACATATAAAAATATATGTACATATAAATTTATCTCTACAGGCATTACGGCTATCAGATATATGTTAATAATTTATATATATATGTATTATGTAAACAAGATGGGTCAGTTTTCGTATTTATAAATTAAATACGAATATAAATTATAATTTAAAAATGAAAAGACTTTCTGATCACAACTTGATTCATCTTGAGATATATATAAAATAATATATAGCCTTGACTATAAATATAAAGCACTTTCACAATCAATTTATTACATTTTAAAAGGCGACAATAAAAGCCAAAAAAAAGGCTAACAATATTTAAATTATTAAAAATGATACAAAACTAAACATTATTTTCCAATTAAACTGTTTTTTTTTTAATTCATTTCTCGTTAGATACAATACGTCGATTTGTAAGGACACTTTATATTAAAGGTCAAGGCAGTATAACAGAGATATATAGATATATGTATCCTTTCACATCTTACAGATACAAATGCTTTCACACCTCAAACGCGATGAATTAACGCGAGACAGCTAATTAGATGACAATTCCTTGAAATCAAACGTAAGGTCGTATATTTATACGCGCAACAAGCAATCTCGCGTCACTAATGATCCTATTTCTTATTAAACGGCACAGATAATTAGAGCTCTGCGTGCAATAAGTTCAGGTTATTAAAAAAGGCCGTTGTAAAAACGCGCGGCTTATTATACATCGTACATAAGATAATGTGAGAACGGAACAGAGTCTTTCGCGGCAAACACGTGAGTTTAATGTAAAAATAAATTTACGATATATTTTAACTTTACCACGACACAACAATGGTAGGCATGTAACGTGAAACGACGCGGGGGATTCCCAGTGTTCTCCTTACCGCGAGGAACACGCGCTTACAAGATTACTGGCAAGATTACGGGGGATAAGAGGGATGGCGAGCGCGCTCCGCTTAGAGACGTCAACTTTAATCTCCATTAAGATAAACGCGGTCGTAATCGTTAATCGTAAAGCCATATGGCGGCAAGAATTTTCCCCGCGACATATCAACACCGCGCGACCGTTGGCGGGAGGATCCGCGAGTACCTTGCTTGCAAAAGTTGAGTTAACCTCGAATCAAGCCGTCACCTGCAGTGCGACCGCGTCTCTGCACGATTGTTGAGCGATCCTCCACGGCGGAGGGAAACGAACATCCGCGCGACTCCGCGAGGTTCACCAGGCGTGCGAGGCACTCTTTTTTTTATATACGAGACAACGCCGCCGCGACCATCGCCGTGGGTCGCGAACGACGGGACGACGCGTGAAACGCGGCAAAAGGGGAGAGAGAGAGAAAAAAACAGGAGAGACATTCCTCCGCGTATGACACTGATGACACCCACCTCCGGAGCGTCGCTCTCTCGGCGCGGAGAGACGCGCGCGCGGTCCGGAACAACACGTACCTCGTGTGCCCGGCGTGTGTCGCGACGGCGAGCCGCACTCAGCTCTCCTTCATCGCCGCGCGCGTGTCAGCGTCGTGCCAGCGTCAGCGTCCTCGCGGCGTCCTCGTCGTCGTCGTCGTGGTCGCCGTCTCGGTCGGCGAAATGGCGACGGTGCGTCGCGACGCGCGTGCAAACGGTGACTGCCGACGGCGGCAGCGGCTCCACGCAGCCGTGGTACTCGCGGAATGCGACAGCGGCGGCGGCGGCGGTGGCGACGGCGGCGGCAGCGGCGGCGGCGCGACGACGCGGCACCGCGTCGTTCGCATAGGTGCGGATCGCGATCGCGAGGCGAGACGATCCCGGGAGACGGACGGGATCCCGCGAACGCCGGCGACTCACTCACTCGCGACGACGCGCCTCGCTTCCGCGCGGCTCGGTTTCCGCGCGGCGGAGCGCGCGGGCGGACGGGCGAAAACGCGGCGCGGAGACATTCCGCGGAACGCGACGACACGAGTTCCGCACGCGACACGCCGATTGGCTGGCGGCTCGCCCGGCGGACGAATGGCCGACGCGCGACCTGTCGGCGGACGAGGAATCGAATGGGACAACTTCGAGACTCGCGGCGGTTCTCATCGCGGCGACGTGCGCGCGTCCGGGACGTTTTTGCGAAATCGCGAAATGTAATTAGAGTAACTTCGATCAAATTCCAACGGACGACTTAATCGGCGATTAATTCAATCGATAGACTTGCAAAATTCTTAATTGTATGATGTTCTAACTGTATTCATTATAATTAATTAAACCTTTCATATAGAACAGTCAACTCTTAATTTTCATAGAATACATTATAATAATGAAAATTTCGTAGAAAAAAAAAGTAATACTTGGTACTACTTAATTAATAAGTATTACTTTCCAAATATTACTTAATAAGTATGTCATCACCAATTACTTTGTCAATCAGCTGATTTCAGCGTTGAGTCGAAAGCTTAATAAATTTAGTAATTATTTTAGTACTGTAGTATTGTTTTTTTTAATATCTTAAATATCTTATAGTAAAATTATTTTTAATTACGTAAAACTGTCATCCACAAATAAATGACGAAACATTCGCAGGCTTTATATATCATGCAAGTATGAATAATATATGACAGTTAAAATGTTAAAGCATTTTCTTTTTTTTTTTTTTTTTCAAATGAAATTGAATGGAAAATAGGATTGCAAGTTGCAATAGCCTTTATTATTAGCCGTTTAATAGCCTTTATTAATAGCCTTTATTTTTAGTCGTTTAATTATTCAATAGGACAATTATATACAGTTTCTATATAAGTTGCAGCATCATGTGCACAGAATATATTCCAAATGCATGTATTTTTTTTTGTCCATAGATTTTACCGATTTTACGACGAATTAAATTTTAAAAACAGCTTCTTTTTGCACGCGGTTGGATATTACTGTTATTTTCCAAGTTTATAAATATCTCGACAAATACAAATGTAGAAAAAAGTATACGTATATCATTTTATTATTTAGTAAATTTAGTTACAAGAATCTAATTCTGTAATGTATCTGCTTTCTGTCATATTTCATATTTAAAAAAAAACCATATAGAATAAAATTCTAAATTTTTATCATTTAATGACTGGAAAAATACGCGTATTGTCGCATAGAAATGTCTACATTTATTTACACACAATCTTTTAATCTTATCCTTATAAAATATAATAATATATACATTTGGACAAAATCAAAGGGGAAATTAAGTAAGGCGAAGGAGATATAAATAAGTGAGAATACATCTATTTTTATTATTACAAATCTTTTTCTTGTACAACGATATAACATATTCGAGCAAGCCCGAGAATTCATTTTAATTGTCGCAAATCTCATCATTGAATGTTGATAATAAATGCGTAAAAGTAATTATAGATGAGCGGGAGAGAAAAGAGCTGCGCTCTGCAAAAGAGGATGAGAATCCCTGCGGCCGGGGACTTTAGGTCGGCGCGCCTACGACGGTTGGCGACACTGGCGTCTCGCGGGGCAAGGCTCCACGGGCGACGGCTGCTCAGTCAGGGATCTCGGTTGCATCGTGTCGGTTCGCAGGACCTACGCGCGATCGCAAGCGTACGAGGGAGAGCCAAAGCGCGCTCGCACTCGCCGCTCTCTCTCTCTCCTTCCCTCTGTCCCCGTCTAGTCCTCTCTCTCTCTCTCCTTCCTTCTCCCTGCGCCGCCCATCGGCCCGCTTCGGTCGTGTCGCGCCGCGCCGAGGAGAGTCAAGAGAGTTTTCGGCGGGCGCGGACGTGTTACGAGGATCACGTTCCGCCGCCGCACCGCATCGACCGTGCGCGGACAGTGTGTGTGCGCGTGTGTGCCGCGGTAGAGACCGAGAGAAGGAAACCGGACGGCCGGAAGTAGGAAACCCGTCGTACGGCGGACGTGCGCTTTTATTTCTCCCTCCTACCTATCGCGCTCTCCCTGTCTCTCCCCCATCGTGCTCGCTCGTTCTCTCTCCCTCTCTCTCCCCTCTCTCCGTCCCTCTATCTCTCTCTCTCCCCCTCACGCTCTCGCGCCTTCTCTCCTCTGTCCCGCGTCGGTTCTCTCGTCGACGGCCGTCGGGTCGCGCCGCGCTGCGCCGCACCGCGTCGTGTCGTGTCGTGTTCCCGTGTGTGTGTTGCCGCGCCGCCAGACCCGCCACGAGCCGCGCCTCCTGGAGCACCTCGGCGCCGCCGTAAAACGGCGCCCCGTCCGTCGCCGGTGACAAGTGACATGTGCGTTGCTGCCGCCGTAGTGCCGTGCCCCGCTGCCGTCGTCGCCGTGGCTGTACGCCGGAGCTGTGCCGACCGCTGTGACCGTGACTGCTGCCGCGCCGCTGCTGCCGTTACCGCCGTGCTGCCTCGCCGGAGCCGCCGTTGCACGTCGCCGTCGCGATGCGCCTCGTCGACGATGCCACCGCCCGCGAGATGCTGTGAGTATTTTGTATATTTGCTTGGTATATATCTGCACACAGTCCGCCGCCTGAACGGCTCCCCGGTTTTACCGTCGGGAAGTCCGAGTCCCTCTCGACTACGGAGCCGACGGCGCCGCCGAGCGCTCGGAGCGGAGAGCGCTGGTCCGCGATGGTCGTCGCGCGTCTCGAAATTTTCAGAGGTCGCAACGGGGGATCTCCGTCTCGGGCCCCCGCCTCTCTCCCGCGCTTTACTTGTTTTCTTTTTCCTCTCCTCGCCCTCCCGGATTATTCGCGGATCTCGAGATCCGCGCGCTCGCACCGCTTCTCCTTTCCCACCCTCTCCCCCCCCCCGTCTCGCCCCTCGTGCACACCGACCGCGCGAGATATACCTAACGCTCGTGTGCAGTGGAATAATAATTTCTCCGCTGCATTTCTGGCCGCGAACGTGACTATCGCTCCGCTTCCTCCTCGCGGCGCGTGCATTAACGCCCGTAAACCCGCCGTCGCCCGCTCCTCCGATCGCCCGTCGTGTGTATGCATGTATGTATGTGTGCGTGCGTGCGTGCGTGCGTGCGTGCGTGCGTGCGTGCATGTGTGTGTCGCCATGGCGCTCTCCCGCGAACGCGGAAAAACAACGCGGTGCGAGGGAAAATGTCGTTTTATCATCTTGCTGCAGTTCGGCGAAACGAATCTCCACAACAACCGCGGGGAAATCCGCGCGGCGCCGCGCTCTTTATCTATCGATTCCGTCGGGCGTACGTGACCGCCGCGGCGTGGACGCTTCCCGCGGGCCCCGACGGACGGACGCGCGAACGAAACGGAACGCTCGCGCTCGGAAGGAAACGCGAGCGGCGCGCCGCAAAAGTCCCGTTTCAGAGGTTCCCGTCAATCCCGTCCGAGCGGGGGGGACGAATTTCCCCCCTCCCCCTCTCCCCCTCGGTTAGATGCACGCGACGAAGCGGCGTTTCAGAGGAGGAAATTCCGCGCCGGAGGTATTGATTTTGGAAAAGCCCCGTTTCGTTCCCCGTCAAGAGGAATCCTCTGAATCCTCTCGTGTGGCCGCGCGATCGTTTTCTTTCTTTCTTTCTTTCTTTCTTTCTTTCTCTCCCTCTCCACCTCTCGCTCTCTTTCCGTACGCCACGGCCACCTCCTCGAAATCCGAAGCCGTCGTCGAAGCCGCGCGGCGTGCCTCGCCACGAGAAAAATGCCCGAAACGCGTCTCGGCCGCGATGGAATCGCGCCTAGAGCCGCCGGTGGACGGGAGAATTTTCGGCTCCCGTCGCCACCGAGTCCGCGGTGGCACGTAAGTGTGTCGCGTAACAGTTGCTCCGCGCGCGGAAGAAGAAAACGCGGCGATCCGGGGCGAGCGCACGCCGTCACGAAGGAGAGCGAGAGAGAGAGAGAGAGAGAGACGTACGATTGATCGTGTTGTTGTAAATGCGCAACGCGAGCGCGGCCGCTCGTGTGTATGTGTGTGTGTGTGTGTATCTCTTTACTTTCGAAGGAAAGAAAATCGAAGAAGTGACGAAACTTGAACTTCCACAAAAGGAAAAGGGACGCGAGGGAGGGGAGAGAGAGATAGAACGAGAAAGAGCGACGTTGTTATCTTGACGAGATAACGTCGGGGTGATTCTAGACCGAGAACCCAGCTCGCGAGAACAGTCTTCAGGCTCAGTTCAGGCTTCTCTCTATCGATTTCAAGTTTTACCCTACTGACTCATTTACCACAATTTCGTCCAAACAAACACGGATCCCTCCCACCCCTCCGCTGTCGTCGTCGTCGTCGCAATGTGCGCGTAGTGTTGCTGCTGAAACGGCTCTCCTCTTTTTTCCCTTCTCCCGCGGGCTCTCGGGTCTCCCGAAATTTAACGGCAGAAGCCGGACGGTTCTGTACCGAACGCGCTAATGAAGGGACACCACCAGCGGTGGGTTTTCGTCGGCAAAAGTGGAGTAAAGCTTTTCGATGGCGTTACTGCGCAGTAGGACGAGCCTGACCCCCCGAGTCGAGTCGACGCTAACATGGTGGTTCGTTCGCCGTCGCGAAGCCGCCTTTGCCGCCGCCGCCGCCGCCGGCTTTTCCGCCTTCGGGCCTCCTCTTCCCAATCGGCATTTCGTCGTACGCCTCCCCCTGGTGCGGGCTGGCTTATCGATACGATCCGGTTTGATTAGAATATAACCATGCAGAACGACGCGAGTGGCCGAGAAGGCCATTATAACGCCATTAGCCTCGCGAACTTCCTAACGTAACTCGGACATCGAGCGACGCTCGTCATTGTTCGCGATAATTAAGATCGTTTCCAAGATAAAAAACTACACCACAGTTCGGCTGTGGAAAGCCGATCGCGGGACGCGTGGTGAGTGAAATAAATAACATCGCAATCGTGCCGCCGTTCTTCCCGTCCAAATGAAAACGTCTCTCTCGAGAGAGAGAGAGACGTTCGAAATGAGGACTAATCTCGCTTCGTCGAATTTTCATAAGGCGGATCGATAACTCAATTATCGAGCAGTCCGGCGAGCTTGAATTCCTTTCCCCGTGATAATCCCTTTAATTATTCGATCGCGCGACGTTGTTCCGTGACTCATTTATACGCTTTCGTAAATCGCTCGTGTTAATCATGTTATACTATCCCGTCTTACCGTCTTCCAATTCCTAATCCTCGTGAACGCGTTCGATCACCCCCCCCCCCTGTACTGAAACGCAGTAGCGGATTAAGCCGTACGGAGACGATTTCGCAATCGTTAAACTGCACCATATCTCGCGTATCTGTCCTCAAGTTATTAATCTTCGGCGACAACACTTTTCAAGAAATCAATCGATATATATCCGGCGCGCCGTATTTTCATTTTCACCCGAGTGTCGCGTGACGCGGCTCGTTATTACTCGCTTCACAATCGTGCTTAGCAACCGCGGGCTCAAGGAATTATAATTCAGCGAGTTATAATTGAGCGTTATCTTGGACCGTTTGGGTGAGACGTGCGCAGTGTCGTCATAAACTGCTATATACGCGCTGAAAAAAGAATCTGATTGCATTAATAGGAAATCGGTTAGAGTCAACTAGTATGTCTGTTTGAAAATCGACGAAAATTCTTGTAGGATTCACCGAATCAGACGAATATGATTAATTTTTTCTTGTTAAATCTACCAGAATTTCTTGTTCGATCGAATCATTTTTCTTGTTAAATATACAAGTTTTTGTTGATCGAACAATTCTTTCATGTTAAATGTACCAAAATTTCTTTTGTTGTGTGACTAAATTTCTTATACACGGAAAGAATGGTTTTGCTGGAAGATAAAAAAAAATCTGAAAATAATTTTTGTTATAGCATCATCAAAATATTTGGTCGAAAACTCAAGAATAATAAGCATTGCTGTAAAAAGTTTTGATATTCTAGCAATCAGTTTGACTTTTGAACAAAATTATTTTGTAGATCCTAGAAAATATTAATCAAATCCGTGTAGTAAAGTCTGTCAAACGTTCTATAATGATACAATATCGAATCCTCTTATTGTAACCAGAAATTCTGTTTGATTTCACCGAAATTCATTCAGCCATACACATCTTGTTGGTACAAACGAGCCATTTTTCGCGCGCGCGGCGTGGATTCCGCCTCGGTGCAACGCGACGTATCGCCAAGCGTAATAAGAGGGTTAAAAAGCGAATCGGGACGCACGCGACGACGCGCGCGCTCGTTATATTATACGTGAGTCCACGTAGCTCTCGTCAACAGTGTTTCACACGTTACACACGACGTTATTACGAGGGACGGTAAACCAATCTCGCCGGGGCCGAGCATGGCTTCTCAAAGCCCGTCTCGTTGTTGGAAGTGAAGAAGAAAAAAAAATGTAGGCTCCGCGCGCGCCGGCGAATCGAATTCAGCCTGAAAATCTTTTTTTCCCTCCACGACGACGCTACTGTACTCCGACGCGCGGCAGATTATCGACGTGCGCGTTCGGCTTCTTTAATTACGCGCAGTAAATAACGTTTCACTTGATCTTTGTGAAAACGAGGAATTCGAGAAGGAAGGGAACCCTTGATATAATTTCATTGAACCTTGATGCGATATCCTGGCATTTTATCATGATCCTTTTTACGCTGTATATATATATATATAAAAGAAAATGTGTTGTATGCACGCGCGGCATAATATAATTATGTATGAAAAGCGATACGCGCCTCGTTTTAACGCAGATAGGTATATGAGTGTTGAATTTAATCTCATTATACGCTGACATCAAATATTCTCACGTCGCGAAAGGGATTCGGAATCAGATATAGCTCGGCATTTCGGAGTTACACTATAAATATGTGATGCAAGAAATTATGATTATTGGCCTATTATAATTGTATCATAAGCGCGGACGGTATTATAATTCGTTATTGGGAAATGAAATGTGAAGCGCCGTACGGAAATGTTACATGGAAGATGCAAATATATTCCCCGCAGGCTAATGGGATGAATTAATGCGGAATTCGGGCGCAAGAAGTCGTTATACATGATGCGTTACATTCGGACGGAGGCTGCAAGAAGTTCCGGCTTATGAAGTTTCGGTCTGCCCGCAAAACACCGCGCGGGTTTCGTTTCTTCTTGACGGCGGGAGCGGCGGCTTGTAGTCGATTTGTGAAACGTTACGTAAATTCCTCCTCCCCGCGATCGCGCGGAACTGCGCGCGCGGTATCGATTTTAGCGAGCTTTTCGAAAGCGTTTCGCGTGTGCCGCGAGAAGATCTAAGCGCGCGATACGCGCCGGTTTGTGACGTCACACGTAACATCGGAATGACGTTCGGGATTGAAGTGCGAGCTAGCGACAGCCTAGCTCCCGCTCGTGTGTCGGCCGCGCCGCCGCGCGCGGCGTGGATCTCTCTGTTAGGCGTCGACGATGGAGAGGCGCGATGCCGACGACGTCGACGTCGACGTCGCCGTTGCAAGTAGGTCAACTGGACTCGTGCGCGCGGCCGCCGCCGAGGCGATGTTTGCTACCGCGAGACCGTTTCGCTATTAGCGCGGCTAACAGCAAGC